TGCTTGAGGAGTATCCCAATGAAACAAAGTCGCGAGAGGCGTGATTCCTGTTAACGTTTAAGATGTCAGAAGAACAGAAATAACTGATTTTATGATTAGACTATATGTTATACAAGTCAACGATTATATATCTACCGTTGGCTAGTAGTTCGTCAATGAGCTCATTGTAGAATCTGATTCCTTCCTTGTTCACTCCCATGTTTAGTTTGCCATCTTGTACATTTATGAGAATAATTTTAGAGATATAAATATTTGATGTTGCATTAATCATCAGAAACTAGTGAAGAAATTACAAGTTGTATTTTTAAGTTAATAAGCATACGAGGTAATATCCGGACCCAGGAGATGGAGAATCTAAAAGCATCCATGTTTATATCCTTCATTCTTTGAATATCCTCCTGTCACACGTGTATAATTCGTTTTTATTATTATTTAGATAATTATAAGACCTGAACACATCAAAATGATGGCTACCGAACTGTTTATATGTAACTACCTTGTAACGGTGATAGAAATCGACTGTCTCGTCCGCGTTCGAAAGGCAATTTCTTTCTGAAAACAAAAAACAAAAAAATTCAAAAATTATCTTAACAGATTGTTGCTGAATGAAGATTGACGCATGCAATCCAATCAAAGGGGCTTGGATGATATATACAAAACCTGGATATTTGCGAGCAAAAGTATCCCACATACTTTCTCCTCGGGAACCTTCTTTCACAGCGCCTTCATACTTATATCACCAAAGAGATAAAAAAGAAGAAGTTGAGTCGATCGTTGTGGACCATACACACATTCAGATGTTTCTATCTACAGCCTGTACTGTAGTATGCATATACTCCATTCGCACAGGAATCCAAATTTTGAGTTTTTGTTTTTATTGTTGAATATCTATACAAACTACATCTTGATTTTTTTTATAATAATTTTGTTTTTTTCCGTCCGCTTTATTTATTTTATTTCAGTTTTGCATGGAGTCTACATTTTATTTTAGAGGGTACTACACACGATACATATATATATATATATATATCTCGCAGATTGTCATGGTCATATGTGTTGTGTACTTACTTGATAAGCAGATGAAGCAGTTCCAAACAGGAAACCATGTGGGAAATCAGCTCGTCCGAATGATTTCTTCTTGTCACAACTCTTCTTTTCTCTGTTAAAAAAAGTTGTATAAAAACACTCTGTTAAAAGTTTCTAAAAGTTGGTTGCATGCTCATACATTACAAACGCAAACACATATATAGACAAAAAAGTTATGATACACATTGTATAGCTCCTCTCTCAAAGAATTCACTTACTGTGTCATCGTTTACAACAGAAGATCTCTCTCAATAGGTAATGGCTTCCAATTTGGAGAAGCTAGCCTTTTAATCTGCATAAACACACATAGATGCATGCATGTATTATATATAATACGTTGTAAAACTTAATTTACTAAATTTTTGGTTTGGTATCCATTGTCCTGTTCAGCTTATGAACAAGGATCTAAAAAAATGTTGAAACAAGAAAACATATAATAGTATACCAATGTTTGAAGATTTTTGTCGTTGAAATAAATTCTGTGATATGAGCAGCTATTTATAGACATCGGAAGTATAGAAGATGAAAATATGAAGAAAGAAAATGTTTAGCATGCACTGCTTTTCTTTCGTTCAACGTCACGTTTACTACATATACTGTTTTGTTAATGCTATTGTGTAAGAAATTTCGTGCTTAGTAGTGATTTTCTTTTTGTCCAAGTAAAAAGAACAGATAAAAACATGTTAATTTTCTATGTATTGTAGAAAATTGATAGTCAAAATCGAGGGTTTTTTTTTTTCTTTCTATTTCCAGTTTCTTATTAGAGTGTTTATTAACCACCGTAAAATCAAATCATATTATAACTAGTTTTCGGGTAGTTGGGATCGTTGTGGGTTTTATAATTTATATTTAATGTCACAAATGAAAATATTACAACTTGTGACATAATTAAGATAATTTATGATTTTAAAAGAGTTTTTAAACTAAAATGTGATATAAATAGATATAGTTAAATTTCATGTAAAAAAATGTAAACATTAGACGAATACTAGTCAAAACTCCAAATTTGATCCAAACATGAATGTTTGACCCTGTCTTTGGAAAAAAAAAAGACTATTTGTTAATTAACCACCACTCCATCTACACATTAGTGTTGAAATTTTTGTTTTAGATAAAAATATTCCTATGGTCTTTATATTCTCAAAATTTCTCTAGAGATCGTGCGAATTGTATGTAGCCGTTTTATTTTGCGTACGAAAGTTCAGTTATTTGACTGTTTCTTTGTTTTCATTCTGTTTTTATTTGACTGTTACTAAGCAAAGTTGAATGTTAAAGTTAAATAGAGTAAAAAATCAGATAAAATCTAGTAAATGTTCTAGTGATCCCCTTTTCTCCTTTAATACTCGGTGGAAAGAAGTATTTTGTTTTTCAATGCACATGCTTGGACTTATCTTGGTCCACTTTTGTTTTTGTATTATTTAACTTCTTGTACTGCCTGTTCTGATTTAATATGTCTGACTCTAACTACAGTAATTTTTTATTGAGAGGTTAAAATGTTTAATAGAAAAGCTTTACAAATCTATCGGAGAGTTTTCTCTTCATTTAGGATTTCTACATCAGCATAAGAAGAAAATTACAATTAATGACTCAATTAATTCATACACTTTAAAATAGTATTATTTTCATTTAAAAATAAAATAAAACACTAATACTAAAGTTAATGACTTCATTAATTCACACATTATTTATAATCATTATTTTTTATCAAAAAGAAACAGAGAAAAAGCTGGAAAAAATAATAAGAAGAAGTAGTTAAAGAAAAAGATGATGATGAAAATGGAACTCAAGATGATGAAAAAGAATTAGAAAAAAAAGGAAGAAGAAAAAATCAATAAAGAAAAGCATGTAGATGAAAATAAAATAGAAGATGAAGAATATATACACGAGATAAATAAAAATAAAAAAAACAAAATTAGAAAAAAATATGAAGAAAAAAAAAATAGAAGTTGAAGAAGATGAAGATGAAGAAAAAAAGGATAAAGAAGAAGAGGAAGAATAACTCAAGCTGATGAAGAGGAATTTAAGAAAATATGAAGACAAAAATATTAAATATGAGAAAAGAGACCGAAAATGAAAAATAATATACTATCTTAATATGATGATGGAGAAAAAGACTAATAAAATCAAGAAAATAAGAAAAATAATATGATGAATTAGCTGTTTAAAAACAAAATATGATGAAAGTCTATATCCACAAAATTTAATATTAACATATATTCAAAATATGCATTTAATACATGTATATTTATATTTATATTAAGTATATTTAGTACAAATAAATAAAATAAAAGAAATTTTATGCAGAAAAAAACAAAAAATGAAAATAACAAATTATGAGAATATGAGAATATGAAAATGGAGAGAGAAAAATTTGTTGTTATATAGAAACACTATTAAAAATAACTAATAGAATACAGGCATTGTTAACACAATGCAAACCATAAAAATTATTTATTAAATAAAGAAAATAAATTTATCAAATAAACTCTTTTTAAAAAATAGCATATAAAAACATGAATATACGTTTAAATCCGCGCGAAGCGCGGACTCAACCCTAGTTACTGAAACGATGCAGTAGTCATCATCTAATCATAAGATTTGTTTTTTTCATGTTTATACAAAAGCACTTTTAATTCATATATTCTTATTAAAACATATGAAAAATATAGTTATTGACGGAGAACCAAAATTTTCTACAAAAAATAACTATACTTTTCTACAGTTACAGTCTAAATACCCAAGATATTTTTGTCGAATAATTAAAGTCTAAAAATACCCAAGATATTTTTGTCGAAGCACATATTAGAAAGACAGAAAGTCCAAAATGGAGGGTAACAAAGACTAGTTATGGGTTATTAAATGTCGAAAAAAGCAGAAGGAGTAATTCGGTTAGCAAAAAAAAAAAAAGAGAAAAAAGAGTAATTTCTAATTGTCTTGGTCTCAAATTTCAAGTACTTTATTTTGGTGCTCATGGTCTCAACTCTCAACTCTCAACTATTTCGTAGTTCGTACAGTATGCTATTTATGAAAATAAAAATAAAATTGTCATTTATGAGTTCATGTACGATAACAATAACGTTTTATTGTGTACGTTGCCAACTTATCAAACGTTTTATTGTGTACGTTGCCAACTTATCAAACGTTTTATAGTGTACGTTGCCGACTTCCACCTATGGATAGCCAAAAGCCCAAAAGCAGTAGAAACTAGAAAGTATTCAACGTGGAACATGATGAGAGTGGAAAATGAAAATGTACATTTTATTAATTTGTGCTTTATTATCATATTTCTTTAGGATAGGAAGGATCCATCATATGTACGTACATATATATATATATATATATATATATATTGACAAAACCAATTCTATATTTTTCACCTGAGTTTCTACTTAAAAAATAAACACACAAAAATACAATAGAGAAATCAGTTAAAAAAGTAATTAAGCATTGTCAACATTATGCAATTGAAAATAAAAAATAATTAATAAAATGAAAATAAGAAAACAAGAAATAATCAAATATAAAAAGAAACGAGACATGGTAATAAGACCACGCAACTATATGAAAGTCAAAAATGGAAAGTGGTTTTCCATGCTGGAAAATAAATAACTTTTTAAAAGATGAAAAAGTTGCGTGAAAAATTAGTTAAAATAAGTTTATATGACGATAATAATAGTAACAAGATGAGCTATTTTGTCTCCATCTCTCTCTCTGCACTTGCATGGAGCTAAAGAAGGGAGGAAAGGTGTATTTTCCCATTAGCGTTGACTAATGGGCGAGTTTTAAAGATTACTTATTGGGCCGATCTTTCAAGCCCATATTGACAGCGCCGAGAAGAGACCCTCTCGCTGAATTGGAAACTTCTGTTAACATCAAAACAATATTTTCTCAACCACCACACTGTAAATCACAGATTTTTTGAAAAAAAAAGGGTAGAATGAGTAAAACTCGTTTAGATCAGACAAGTTCCCAATAACACAGAACAACCACAAAAGAATGTTTACAAGTCATAAAATATTCTTCTTCCTCAACAATTTGCACACTTTCAGTTTTTTTCCATAACACTCTGTTTTCAATTATTCGAGCCTTTGAAGAACAGAGAAGTACCAACAGTTGCAGTGACAACGAACAAGCTCCCCAGAACTGCGGGTAACGCACCACTGTCTTTAATCGAATGGACAAGTTGACTGTCTTGAACTGAATGCAATAGCTGTTTCCCGTAGCTCTCCTTCTTTTCTTCCTTGTTAGACGCCAAAGAAGAAGAAGACTCGTCTTCTTGATCAAACTTCAAGAACTCTCTCAACCACAAAGCCGACATTTTCGGGAATCTTTTAAGCCCATCTTTGAAATCAATGTAGTACAAACCGTATCTCACACCATATCCACTGTTCCACTCGAAGTTATCTAGCAATGACCAAACGTAATAGCCTTCCACTCTGACTCCATCTTCACTGTTAAAATCAAGGCAATGAAAAAAAGTTAAAGATTTATTTTGTTGTCTCTGACGATTTTCAGACAATCTAGAGTAGCACCTATACGTGAATTGAAACATTTGTTACTATCTTAATGGAAACCAAACCGAGATTATATTCTTTCTAAAACTAAACCAAACTAAATTTATGATGCAACTAACCATTTTTCTTACTAAAACTCAAAATGTAAGTGATTAAACACCCTTAATTCAAGCTCAAAATGGCTCTAATCAAAAGGTATTGCTTACTAAATGGCTTGATGAATTGCGTGGATGTGTCCTTCTATGTATTCCAATCTCTCTGTGTCGATTGAAGGATTGTACATAAACAGACCCTGACTCTGTTCCGCTACTTCACCATACCCTGAGAATTACAATAGAAAAATGTTGCATGAGAGATGTTTGGCGAAAGCAGAGACAGATAGAAATTACTCCATGTAAAGATGATTATACCGTTCTCGGTTATGATAATCCTTGGATTCTCATAATTCTTTTTCATATACTTCAAAACGTTTCTGAGTCCTGTTGGGTATGTGAAACTCCACTCTGATCCTCCTTGTTTCGCTATTTGTTTCCCATCTATGTTGGTTTCTGCAAAAATGTGTTAGTAGGAGCCATAAGTTAGTCACAATGTCAATTTCAATTATTATCATTCATCACCATTATCATCATCAAAAGACATACTCATCCAATCTACGCCTTGATCAGTTCTCCAAGTGGGTTGCGTAGGATCCACGTTTTTGATACTCTTTACGAAAAGCGAGCTGTAGTAGTTTATACCAACGTAATCGCAAGAGCCTATCAGTTTCTTGGATTGTTCTGGAGTAAAACTCGGTAATCTATCTCCGCAAGATTTCTTCATCGATTCTGGATAGTCTCCATACGCTGTCGGATGATGATGCCTGTAAGAAATACCGCGGCAAGAAAGACAATCAAAATCAGTTTAATAATTATAAGAACTTAAAAGACTAGTTTTTGATTAGATTTTCTAAACGTATGACTCCTAACTAGTCCTTAATTAGAATCAACTTACCAACCAATCATGAAGTCCATAGCTCGATTACATCCTTCTACATCATCTGGATCGCTCGGATCATAAGGCTCGTACCAAAGCGGATTATGCGCAATTCCAATTTGTCCATTTTTAATCTGCGTGGTATTCAAATCAGATCACTAAAACAATAACACAACAAACAAAATATTGGAAAGTGAATATTTGATCTATTTTTATTACTTACATTGTCACATTTCCTAAACACTTGCACAGCTTCCGCGTGAGCTAGAAGCATGTTATGGCTCACGATATAAGCCTCGTATCCGGACATTCCAGCAGTGCTAGCCCCATTCACATACTTGGAGCATCGTCCTGGCGCTTTTCTCCCTGTGTCATAACCAGCAACACTGTAGACCCATGGCTCATTCAATGTGCACCATAGACTCACTCTATCCCCAAATCTCTCGAAGCAGAGACTCGCGTAGTCTCTAAAGTCATCTCTGTATTTAAACATCACCTAACATGAATTCTCTCCAACATATACATCCATTCCACCACATCTATTCGACATTCAAATAAAATATGAATTTGCTTACATAATCTGTTCGCTTAGAAAACCTCCATATTCATCTTCAAGATCCTGAGGAGTGTCCCAATGAAAGATTGTAACAAGAGGAGTGATTTCATTGGCTAGGAGTTCATCTATCACATCATTGTAAAACTTAATTCCTTCTTCACTAACTCCTCTCTCCCTTTTGCCATCTGTTTTTTTATTTTTATCACATAATTAAATCAACCAGAGATTATATCGATATGAAACCGCGAGTTCGATAAAATAAGGTTTCAGAAACGGTGATGTACTTACAAGGTATAACTCGTGGCCAAGCAATGGAGAGTCTAAAAGAATCCATGTTTATATCTTTCATTCTCTTGATATCTTCCTGTACAAGAAACACAGATCTTCAGATTATTGTAACTAATTACCTTAAGAAGCAAGAAATCGGAAAAAGGGAACAAGAAGATAGAAAGTACCTTGTAACGATGGAAGAAATCGACGGCTTCGTTTCCGTTTTTATTATCACTGATTCTGTGAGGAAATCTGTTGGAGAAATGATCCCACATGCTTTGACCTCTCTTACCTTCAGTGACTGCTCCTTCATACTATACCCAAAAAAACACACAAAGTGAAGTAAATATCATTTGATCTTGCTATGTTTTTTTCTGTTTGTTCTCAGTACTTAATTATGTATTGTTTTATTTACCTGGTATGAAGAAGAGGCAGTTCCAAAGAGAAAGCCTTTTGGAAAGCTAGCTCTACCTTTTGACATCGATGTAGGATATGTTCTTTGAAGACTGCAGATTAATCAAAATTTTAATATTGTCTTACAACTCAATGAGAAAATGCTAAATTTTCCTTACGGTACATATGAATCTTGGAAGGGTTGACATCATAGAAAGGAAAAAAAAAAAAAAAAACAGAGCACTCACTGTGTCATATTTGTTGGGTTTTGTCTTGTCTGTAAACAAAAGCTTTTCCAGATTTCTGCTGAAGAATTTTGATGCGGAAGATCTTGGAGAAGGAAGGATGAAATGATGATAATAAGTAGATCTTGAAATAATTTTTCCTGGTTATAGATCTTGAGATAAAGCCTTATATGATATATAAATGCGTGATTGAGAGATACAGAGAGTTGAGAAGTCAAAGTAGGGTTATATTTATTTTATGCAGCAGCAGCATTATTATTATTATTTTAAAATCGAATTGATTGGATAAAATTGCGCAGACCGTTCTTGTTTGCTTATTAAAAAAATATCAATAAGGCCAGTAACCTTCAAAAATTTCAGCATATTTGCAATTTGTAATAAAGTTATTATAATCCGACATTGTTTTTCTCTTTTTTAATCTGATAAATCTTGGCCTTTCGTCCTTTCCTGATCTACTTGATTAAAGACCGCATATATACTATTTATAATTATTTTTCTTAATTGCGCGTAAATATTCCGTGTCTGCGTTGTATAAAATATAAAAGTCATCGTTAATCATCCGAACACATATTTTTTTTTACAGCTTCTATAAAAGACCAGATATAGATCGTATTAATACCGTTTTTTTAATTAAAGGGATTCAAAAACGTAAGGAAGATAAGTTCCATGGGACACACCCAATTAACTACACCTTATCCATGAGAGAACGAATTCATTTATAACTTAACTTCCACTAAGTGACAAACGCAAATGCTTTAAATCCCTATATTATTTCGCCGAAAAAAAAAAAAATATCCCTATATTAAAATGCATGCATAATCATAATTAATTAAAATCCTTTTCGCAAAAAAAAACAAAAAATAATCATAATTAATTTTATTTTCTTTGAAGTTAGTTTTTAGCTTTTGCGCCTAATAATGTTCATGTTTTTATAATTTTATCATTAGAAACAACATATTTGACTTATTATGAGATGATGATATCGTCGGCACTGCGTCTATTGTTTTTGATTATGAATAGTTTAATACTTTAAAGCAGTTATTATTATTTATCGACAGTCAATGTTTTGTAGAAAGAAAGAAAAAACGAGAGAATGGAGAAGCGTCGCCGTTGACTTTGAATCGTTCACGAGAGACTGGGGAGAAAGAGGATATATTTGTAATTTAATCATGAAATGCGTGAACGGTGTATGTTGGACTTCGTCGTGGATTGTATCAACGGGTCCCACTCGAAGCAGTCTTGACGGTAACGTGGCATCGAAACTAGTCAAATTTGCCGTCGACTTTTTTGTTGTTGTTGCTGGTCAACATCCGTCGACTTTTTACAAGACAAAATCACAGAACAGCTCAAATTCAGATTGGTTATAAAGGAATCAATTCAATACTTGTCTCTAGTAATATTAATACTTTAGTCACTGATTAAGTGACTAGAAAGCTATTGGTTATTAGTTATTACTGTCAGCAACTTACTTTATAGTTATGATCCAAATGCTATATTTTAAAATATGAGAATAAAAACACAAAATGTTTGGAAAGAATTATTAACTCTAATATTTGTACAAGTTACATTTTTTAAACACAAAATGATCCTTTTTAATATTGTAATGAAGCTATATCTCAAATTTCAAAACTAAGAAAAACGTAAATGAAAAATAATATTTAAAGATGAAGTTAACTTTCTTAAACTAGAAATCACTTATTAATAATCGTTTTTTTTTAAGTTGTTCATGATTTCTATAATCCCGATACAATTGATTTTATTGATCAACAAATTTTTTAATTATAATACAAAATGATAATTTTCTAGTAAAGATAAAAACATTTTTTTTAGAATAGTACTGTTTTTAACGACACCGAATAAGTACCTTTTTTAACGACAAGTAACGCATTATTAAGATCTACCTGTCGCTGTAGCCTATGATATTTTTTGCAGACAAAAAAAAAAATTAATTGGGTTGGTGTATGCAAGAACTGTGTGATGTGATCATTTTCATTCCTCATGGTCATGTTGTAATGGCTGATGTTTTCATTGGTACACACAAGTGGTTGTCTGGTTGACTCCAGTAAATTCTTCCTTACGGCCCAAAATCCAAAAATTTAACCCGGTTAGTTTATCTCAAATGATAAGTAATTCACATCAGTAAAAGAAGTTTCTTTCAATATAGGCACTATCAGTTTTTCAATATTAGGCATTGAATGTATGCTTTTCTCGTACCATGGTTATTGGCAGTGGTGTGGTCTCTGTCCTTATGTCTAGCGATAACATCTGTAACCACCCTCATAGCAGCAGCGGCTGCGGCAGTATCTGCGTTCCTCTGTCTTGATGGCCTTGCTCCATTTCTTCTAGCACTTTCTGCTCTTATTACACTTGGCAAACAATCAAGATGGAACTATAGTAAAAAATTGATGTGGTGATTAAAGAGACGTTCAATCAAAAATTATCAATGGCATAATATAAATTTCTATATTATAGATAACAAAAAGAATCGAAACAAACCGCACAAAGAATGTCCTCCGCAAAATAAAGCTATAGAAGAAAGAAAAAAAATATGAAAAAATATAGTTAAAAGGAAAAAATTATCTAAATGAAATAAGCAAAGTATAGAGTTGAATACCTTCTCAGTATCTTCAAAGAGATGAGCCACTGCAGATAGGAAATCTGTCTCAGATAGTGTTTCCTTAGCCTGAATAGAACAAAATGATGCAAGTTGTCACCAAAAACTGATCCTAAAAGATTCTAAGACCAAATGAAGAATTACTTATCATTTGAGACAAACTAAGTTCAAAAAAGGAAACCAAGTGTATCAAATCCATTAATGTTTTTATCAGTAAAAAGAACAGAACTTATCTAAGGAGAACACCGTTACCTGAACTGTATCCTAGAATAGACATGCCACAGCAGCTAGGATGTAGCATTCCTCAGCTTCAAACAGTGGCTGAAGAGGTATTCAACTCTACTTTGCTTATTTCGTTTAGATAATTTTTTCCTTTCAACTATACTTTTTCATTTTTTTTTCCTTCAATAACTTTATTTTGTGGAAGATATTCTTTGTAGTGTGCCGGTGCTCATTGCCGATGAGAGAGAATCATCAACAATTTATCTCGATTCTTTTTGTTATCTATAAAATAGAAATTTATATTATGCCATTGATAATTCTTGATTGAACGTTTCTCTGATCACCTCATCAATATTTGACTGCAGTTCCATCTTGATCGTTTGCCCAGTGTGATGAGAGCAGAGAGTGCTAGAAGAAATGGAATAAGGCCATCAAGGCAGAGGAACGCAGATACTGCCGCAGCCGCTGCTGCTAGGAGGATGGTTACAGATGCTATCGCTAGACGTGAGGATAGAGACCGCACCACTGCCAATAACCATGGTACGCGAAGAGCATACATAAGTGTCTAATATTGAAGAACTGATTGTGCCTATATTGAAAGAAACTTCTTTTACTGCTGTGACTTTCTCTACTTAGTCAGTTTCTTCGCCGAGAGGAGAAACACATCTTGTTAACCTTTAAGCTCGATGTTTATATGGTGAGGTCGTAGCTGCTGAGTCTTATATTCTCTATGCATATATATTATCATATAAATAGTCATATAGATAGATATATAAATATTTGTCTTAGCAAAATCAACGGATCAGCTGATATAAATACGTGGTGGCGTCCATAATTTACAAACAAAAACATAAAAAAAAAATTATTAAATAAACTAAAAATATCGACACATGTTAGTCTTTTCCATTTCTTGATTTTCTGTTTTCCTTTCTCTTATATCTGTTTCCTTCACCAACTTTTCACGTTTAGATTAAGTTATACAAGTAAAGTCTCACTTTCTTTTGACTCGGTAATTTTTTTCCTTTAAGATTAATATTAAAAATTAAAACTCAAAAGTAAAAGTATAGGGAAGAACAAAAGAATATGAATACAAGGAAGTTATTAAGAAAAATGAAATATTGAACAAAGAATACAATATCGGTAGGTTATTATTATTGTTTTCTAGGAAAAGGTTGATATCAAAAGCTCAAGAAGTTATGTATCTCCGGTTGATAACTTTTTTAGGTCGGGGTACAACGTGTTGGAGTTTCATCCTATGCTTAATCCTACACAACAAAGAAACATAAAATGTGAGAATAAAAAGATGTAGAAGATGAGATTGTAGAGAAGAAGAAGCCAAAAAGGCCCATGAAGCCACAAAGAGTGTGACTACATGTAAAAGCTTGATTGCTACTTTTTTCTCAGCCTATTTAAACAAAATAACTAAACGAATACACTTAGAAGTTAAATAGGTAGGGCTTAAATGCTGATCGTTGTCGACATGTTACTAGCTCCTTGTAAATGTTATGTAAAGAGAGGAAGCTAGGGCAATCATATCATGGAATTAAAAAAAATATTTACAGAGTAAATCAGCTCGCTTTCATTGCCTTCAGGTCTTTCATTTATTAATTGTTTACTCTATGTGATTACAAGTTGATCATCAGTTGTTGTGATATTTTCTATTTCGCGTGAGAAAACTTAGTAGACCATCGAACCAACAACTATTTTTAGTTACAATTCATACAAAAAATCGTAGTAATAACTTCCGTACCTTGTTTTAATTAAATTGTAGTAACATCTAATAATTTCCTGTACCTTGTATTGCTAAAAAATATAGTAAAATATTATTGCTTTTTCTTTGAATATTATTATTATTATTATTATTATTATTATTATTTACCAAAGGCTTTCAATATTTCTTTGAATATTATTGCAATTTTCAGTAAACAAATTCACTTATATTATATATATTACTTATTACACCTAAATTCATATACTGTAGATATGAATTGAGTGTATACATTTTTATATTCACGTTGGTATATCAAACGTATTTTTATGACCAAGGAAGGATATGTAACATACCTTTTAGATCTACCGTTTTTTTTTTTGCTAACTATTTCACATGAACTTTCGTTGGCGTTGGTCAGATTCTCGGTTCTAATACTGCTTTAAATTTGAAAAATCAATTCCGAATAAGCTCTAGTTCTTTTAAAAATATTATATATATATATATATATTTGCAAACATGACTAAATATTGTAGTATATAATGCACAATTGCTTCTCTGATTTTTTCAAAGAACTTAGATCATCAGCAACGCATACCACCACTTCTTGATAATTTTAAACAGAACCGACGGTGTCCGTTGTTGTGATCTCACGAGGAAATGTTTGAACCATTTGGCAGAATCTTTAGCATATCGTTTTAGATCATCTGCATAATCAACGTAGTACAGACCGAACCTCATAGTGTATCCATGTTCCCATTCAAAGTTATCTAACAACGACCATGCGAGATAGCCTCTGACGTCACACCCATCCTCACTGCATTCGTGTATAATATACGCATTAATATCGAGTATCTCACAAGATTGTTAGTCATTAATCAATTTCGTATATATGGTGAAGTTTTCTTACGTGATAGCCTTATGGAGTTCTTGAAGATGTTTCTCGTGGTATTCTATTCTCTCTGTGTCCTTTAATATTTGCTGACGCGGAATCGTCCCAATATCGTAGTCATCAAATCCTACAGTTAATTACAGTTAGATGTTTGACAAAAAATAAATTACAATTAGATGAGAGTTAATTATTGAAATGGTCAAGATTAATTCTCATAGGTTCTTACCGTTTTCAGTTATGTAAATTATTGGATTGTTATATTTATTTTTAATGTAATTTAGAATCTTTCGTATGCCTTCAGGATATGAATAGATAACTTTATTTCCATCCTGAAATTGAAACAACAAAGAGTAACTTTAAGTCAATCACTGTTCCAAAAATTGTGATTCAATTTAAGTTTAAATAAATAAAAAATCTAAGAGAGATTGAAATTCATACGGATTGTGAAGAGATGTAATCGCCACTAAGATTTGTCACTACAAAAGATATAAAAATGATCAGTTTTTGTTGAAGCTTGAAATAGGATAAAAACTCATTTGATGTGATTGGAATAGGATTAAAAAACTAAGCTTTCTTTCCTCTTGGAAATTTTGGAGGTTCTTACCTCTGTACTCGAGCTGCTGATCCGTCGTGAAACGAAGTCGTAAAGGGTCACTATGAAGCTGGTGTGCAACGAATCGGGCAGTGTAATAGTTTATTCCAATAAAATCAAATGAGTTTTTGATAGTTTCTGATTGTTCTTTGGTAAAAGAAGGCAATCTATTTTCAGCGTTTTTCTTGATCGTTTCTGGATAATCTCCAAAGACTAGAGGATCGAGATGCCTACACAAATAATAAGATAATCGATCAATCATCCTAGAAAACTTATTCAAACTACTAATTATGAAATTTACAAAATTGTAAATAAGACAACTTACCAACCAATATAGGAGGCAAGAGCTCTTTCAACTGCTTCTTTATCAGAATGGGAAGCAACATCATAAGGTTCGAACCAAAAAGGAGATAACACTATGCCTATCTTACCATCTTGGGAAATCTGTTTTACAAAAAAATATTGATTACTATCCCAATCAGAAAAGTTAAGGTTTTATATCTTATATAAGACAAGTTGGTCCACTTTACGAACTCATTAACATAGTGAAAATATTGTTTTATAAACCTTGTCACAATTTCTAAACTCTTCAACAGCAGCAGCATGAGCTAGAAGAAGATGATGAGAAACTAAGTAGGGTTCCGTGCCCGAATCACCAGCCACACATAAGCTGTTTACCCATTTCGAACATCTTCCCATTGCTTTATTACCATTGTCGTAACCCGCAACACTATAAACATATGGTTCGTTGAAGGTTGTCCACATATCGACTTTGTCACCAAATTCTTCGAAGCACACCCTAGCGTAGTTCCGGAAATCATCACTGTTTTACAAACATCAAAGAAAATTAGAAGATTAATTGTACTTGTCACTGTTTTACAAACATATAAATTAAAAATATTTATCGTACGTATTTTGATTCTGTATATGCTAATATACTGAATAATCTAATATGTAACTTACATGATCAAAGGGCTTAAGAAGCCACCATATTCATCGTCTAGAGCTTGAGGGATATCCCAATGGTAGATAGTTACAAAAGGTTTTATGCCTGGGTATATGTTTGAATATTCTATGATCAGAAATGTTATTTGAGAGGTGTGTTATATATATAACTCGTTTAAGCATATGATTCTGACCGTTGTCAATAAGTTCATGAATGAGATTTTTGTAGAATTGAATTCCATCGCTGTTTACCCCATCGCTTAGCTTTCCACCTGAATGTTCAAATTTTGAAAGATCAATAAATGAGTAAGTATAAAATTGCAAATATATATAAGACATAGTTATGTAATTCTTAATTTAAATTATATTTCGAAATTTTAATTACTACTCACTTGGTAATATTCTTGACCAGGAGATGGAGAATCTAAAAGTATCCATATTCATTTCCTTGATCAATTTAATGTCGTCCTGCTTGTTCAGTATGTACGTGAACAATTGTTAAAAGCAATGAAAAATAAGACCCAAAATGTTATTAAATTAAGATTTGGGTCAAGTTTTATGTTCCACCCATTTTTCAGAATCATATTTCCTGACACATTTTAAAAAGAACTTATATGGCCAAACATGTAAAATAACAATTACTCACTACGCAAATAAAAGTAAAAAAATCATACCTTATAACGATGATAGAAATCAACGGCTATGTCTCCATTGTCCATATTTGTCCTTTCTGCAACACTTTACCATGTCACTTACCATTTATAGGGCAAACAACTATTTCCAAGATAGAATAGTAATTAATAGTTAAATTTACCATGAAAGTGTTAATATTTGATTTATATTTTCAGACCTGGATATGCATGTGTAAAGTTGTCCCAAATGCTCTGCGTCCTCCCTCCTTCTTTGACTGCACCTTCATACTGAATCAAATGAACGTATATATATATATATATATATATATAATCATTACAAATTAATCACTTAAAATTGTGAGGCAATAGGTAAAAATTTATTATTCAGTGTCACAAAAAAAAATTAAGCAACATATATACATAAAAACCAACTAACCTGGTAAGCTGAAGAGGCAACACCAAAACTAAAACCAGGAGGGAAACTATAACGATCAAGTGGTTTTGTCGAAAATGATAGCGATCTTCCCTTTGAAACAGCCCATGAGGCTACAAATAGTGTGACTAAAAGTGCAAGCTTAATTGCCATTTTAAGCAAAGTTATTTATTGAATACTTAGAATGTAACTAGGGCTTGTATGCTCACCGTCTCCTGAGAATGTTAATCCACATATAAGGGGTTATATAGAGCGAAGAAGCTAGGGCATACACGTGGCGATAAGAGTGGGAATAGTATCAGACTAAGGAATTAGATCATATGATCTTTGTCAGTAGGCTTTCATTGACTTATACTCCCATGACGAAAAGTAAATCGACATTATTTGTTTGGGAGAATAACTACTCAATCGTTAATACTAATTTTTTTAATCCATATTAGTTTCTTGCCAAAGTACGATGAAGTCTATTAAACGGTTATACCTTCCAATTAATATAATTGTTAGGCACGATCTCATAAGGTCAAAAAAATTACTCTCTCTGTCAATTTATTTATAAATCAGAGAGAGAATTTCTAGAAAAACTTGAGTAAACATCAATCAAATCAAAACATGTTTTCATACATAAATCATAACTGATTTGGTTTTTGATTCTCAACTTTTTGTAAATGTTGATGGTATATATTTTTTTGAAAAATTTTTAATGGTATATTTATTAATATCTCAATTTTACGTTTTAATGGTATATTTTAACCCCCATTAAAATATATATAATATATATTTAAAATTTTTGAACATTATAATGGGATATATATATATATATATTTGAACATTTTAATGGTATATTTATTAATGATGTTGGTTCGTGTTTACATTTTAATGGTATATTTTAACCCCCATCGTGTTTTTTTTTGGGTTCGTGTAGGATATTTGATATCTTCATTTCATTAGTCAACAAAAAACATATCTGCATTCATTGGTTACTACTTAGTTAATTAAGACAGTTAATTAAGACTTAAGAAGAACCGTTTAATGAAGAACAAAATAAATATGCATCATGGTAAATATGTCACTTGGAACACTAATACAGTTTACCAAAAAAAACATTAATACAATACACAAAAATAAATGATTAACCCGTGAAAATATCTCTCGACTGGTTATATGAGGATGTAAAACATCAACATAGATTCGAACTAGAATTCGAATTCCACTAGCCACTGTAATGAACATAGCGAATATATATGTGTCAGGGAAATTATAAAATACATTAAACCCAAACTTGTTACCAGAAGAGAAAATATTCTTTTTCATAAGGGAGGAAAAAGCTATTTCTTACAATAACCAGGTTATGAATAAATAATGTTAATTGATGTTGTTTGTCGATTAGCTTTTGGGTCAATGTTTTCAATGTTGTTTGTCGATTAGCTCTTAACATTTCTTTATTATGCTAATGAACGTTTCGTTTGTATAAAAAGAAAGATATTCCTTATAAAATTCCAAAGTGGTATTACTTTTTTGGGTCAAAAATTGTATTTGCGATTTCCACGCAGCTATCAAAAAATTATTTAAAAGATTCATGTATAGTATGATGAATTTCCTTAAATGCTCTTTTTTAATATTATCAATAACAAAAATATTACTCTCTTCGTTTTACAAAGAGTGTCGTTTTAAGGTTTTATTTTTGTTTCACAAAGAATGTCGTTTTATATTTTCAATGCAGAATTTTAAACAATATTCCAGTTTTGACTCTATTGATTTAACGTATTAATTAGAGAAAAAAGTGATTTAATGCATTAATGAAATGCAAAATAGTATTTTTAATAGTTTTCTTAATAAGTGTGAAAAATGTCAGAATGACACTCTTTGTGAAATGGAAGGAGTATCATTTTTAAATATTTATTTATTGAATGGTTGAACCACGAATATCTGTGGTGAATATCTGTGGTGCACATTGAAATGATTTTTCGTCATATATCTAGTACTCTCTCTGTTTTTTTATACATGTCGTTTTAGAAAACTTACGCAGATTAAGAAATTCATCTAATACGAATTATTACACAGCTTATTAAAAAAGGGTATATAAAGTCATTTTCTACTAGTAACTCTCTAGATTGACGAGAACGTCAATTATTTTGGTACAAAAAAAATCTTAAAACGTCAAGTAATAAAATACAGAGGGAGTATATACTAACTTTGCCCAACTTAAAATGAAAATCTTAACAAAATAACTAATATGATTTGTAAGAAAATAAACTAAGGTTAATAACTTTCAGGAACATATTAAGACAACAGAATAATTTTCAAAAGTTTTAAAGGCAAACCAAGAAAAAAATGGCAATCTTCAAAATAGTTATTTTTTCATCTCTTTTTGTGACTTTTGTCACAAAAAACATTGAATCTAGCTAGTTGATTTGTGTTGCAGTTTATGGACATATCTTTGTCGCAAAGACCGTGATCAAATGCAAGACTCTCGCCTTTTCCATTTCGCATTATATCATATTAGGAGTTTTTCATAGAATTTTATTCATTCTTGTGCTGGCCGATCATCCGTTATGGACCAAGAGTTCAAAACTTTGTTGTTAACAAAAACATTATAATAAAGTTACAATACGTACCTGTTGTTCAAATTAAAAATAAAAAGGAGTTACAATACTTATGACTAATTTTTTGTAAAAGAATTTTATAACTACTTTGTGGATAGATTTTCCCTGGATATTATGATATACCTAGCTAGGATAAGGCGGTAATTTAAGAAGAGCAGTATCCATTCGACGTCATTTCTTAGTTTGAAAATTAATAACGACACTGAATAAAAATTTTACTTCCAATTTTTCGCATCCCTTTTGTAATGGAAACTGGTGCTATAAATCTGGTGTAAACTGGGTCCCGCGGCGGCAATTTTAATTCTCGTATCGTGTAATTAGATTAAGGGTAGATTATGAAAGTTCTTGCCAGGACCAGTAAATGTGTCTGTCTTGTTCGCATCAGCTGATATAGATACGTGGCGTCAATAATTAACAAACTACAATATACAACAAAAAGTTATTAAAGAAAATAAAGATATCGACACATGTTAGTCTTTTCCTTTTCTTTATTTTCTGTTTTCCTTTCTCTTCTCTCTGTTTTCCTTCACCAACTATTTTTACGTTTAGTTTAACTTTTTCTCTAGTCTCGCTTTCTTTTGACTCAGTAATTTTTTCTTTTAATTTGAAGATTAATATTTAAAGTTAAAACTCAAAAGTGAAATATAGGGGAACAAAAGAATATGAATACAAGGAAGTTAAAATAAAAAAAATGAAAATATTTACCAAAGAATACAATATCGGTAGGTTATTATTATTATTATTATTATTATTATTATTATTATTATTATTATTATTATTATTATTATTATTATTTAGGACAAAATCTCAAGAAGTTATGTAACTCCGGTTGATTATTTTTTTAGGTCGGGGTACAACGTGTTGGAGTTTCATCCTATGCTTAATCCTACACAACAAAGAAACAGAAAGTGTGAGAAGAAAAAGATGTAGAAGATGAGAGTATAGAGAAGAAGAAGCAATAAAGGAACCGTAAGCAAGAGTCTTCGTGCCAGCAAAAGAAAAAAAAAAGTCAAGGAAGAAGACAAGAGTCATAGATAGTGGTTAAGGTGGAAAAGGGGGTTATTGGTCGGTTTTGTTTTAGTCATTTAACCTCTCTTTGTTTCAAATCTCATAGGATTCACTTTCAAATTACAAAAACGAAAGAACACACACAGTACTTTCCGAGTTTCATGTGATCACAATCCATAATCACAAATACATGTCAACTGGATCTTCCCCTTACTGGTAATATACATAGAGTACTAAAGGCTACAACTTGAAAATCTAAACGAGCCTCGTCCACAAAAGGTCCTCTAGAATCCAAATGAATTTTTTGGCCCCAACAAGAAACCAAAATGATCATTTGGATTCTCAGAGGCGCAGACATCTCTCTCCTCTTCTTCTATTCTCGATCCGTTTGTCATGATAAGACTGACAATAGAATCAATCGATGTCTTGAAACCTTCTGAATCGATCAAAGTCTTACTATTATATTCTTCCTTACGTGACGCATTCCATACTTCTTCATTCTCTATTTCTTCACTTTTTACGACCGGCCTATTGAGAAACCGTTTGAACCAGTTAACGGAATCTTTAGGATACCGTTTGAGATCGTCTTCGTGATCAACATAGTACAGACCGAATCTAGCAGAGTATCCATGCTCCCACTCGAAGTTGTCCAGCAACGACCACGTGTAATATCCTCTGACGTCACATCCATCATATCTGTTATTAACAGTTAGAATAATTAAAATCATTCATCATAAGAACAATATTTCAAATACCATTTGGAAATTGCGATTAAAGTTTCATAATGATTTTTTGACCCAAAAAAGCTAGTAATATAGTTTTCTTTCAAAAACACTAATATTTTAACTAGTAAACGCAAATTGCGTTTAATACAAGTTTTTTTAACATAGATATATAGAACATGTGGACCGGAGTTTACATTATAGCTTTATGGAGTTGCTGAAGATGGTCCTTATGATAGCTTATCCTAAATGTATCCTTGAGAATCTCATCTCGTGATTTTGTACCATCATTGTAATCATTGATTCCTAAAAAAATTATGTTAATAAAAAAACAGTTTAAAGATTAGCTAAGAAAGTTTTTTTTACAAGCTAAAAATTTACTGTTAATAAAGAAGCAAATAGTTTTTTTTTTTTCTCACCGTTCTCTTTTATATATACGATAGGATTATTGTATTTATCTTTGATGTAGTTAAGAAGTCTTCGCAAACCTTCAGGGTACGAGTAGTAGAGTACGACTGGATTTTCCTATTTGAAAAAAATATAATAAAAAAGAGAAAAACGAATATTACTATAATTTTTTTGAACCATTCTGTTTTAAAACGCTGTTTTAAAACAAAAAGATAAACTTTTTTTAAAAAAATATGTGTAGTGTAATTAGAAAGTTACATACCCGTGGTCCGATTAGGTGATTACTGTAATTTGCTTCTGCTCAAGTGATGCATATAAAGATTAGTTTAATTTACGAGTTTCACTTGTATTTACTAATAATAATAAAAAGTTCTTTTAATATCTACTTAGCATTCTTACCTTTCCTCTCAATTTGATGATCAGTCCTGATTCGAGGTCGCGCATGGTCAATGTGAGGAAGATGAGCTATGAAGCGTGCGCTATAATAGTTTATTCCAATGAAATCCGATGAATTCCGCAACATCTTTGATTGTTCTGCCGTGAAAGAAGGTAATCTCTTACCAACATATTTTTTCATGATTTCTGGATAATCGCCGTAAATCACCGGATTTAAATGCCTAATACGTATATATTGAGAAGATAAAATAAATTACATGATTCCAAAATATATGGGAAAAAAAAATTCCTTTATTTGTAAGGTATAACATACCAATCTACTTCTAAGGCAAGGCCTCGTTCAACAGCTTCTTTGTCAGCAGAAGAAGTAAAGTCTGAAGGCTCAAGCCACCATGGCGATATTACAATCCCTATCTTACCATCTTGTAAAGTCTGTCACACGAAATTTTCTTTTTTCTTATGACAAGTTAAAATTAGAAGAAAAAAAAATTAACTTATATATATACAAACCTTGTTACAATTTCGGAACTCTTGTACGGCCGCGGCGTGAGAAAGAAGAAGATGATGTGATACTATGTAAGGCTCGACGGCTGAATCACCGGCTTGACACTTACTATTCACCCATTTCGAGCAACGTCCAACCGCTTTGTTGCCCGTGTCATAGCCCGCAACACTTATAACGGAAGGCTCGTTTATAGTTGTCCACATCTTAACTTTGTCTCCGAATTCTTCAAAACAAACTCTTGCGAAATTTCGAAAATCTTCTCTAATTTATTGAATTAGAAACAAAAAAAATCAAGTAGACTAGTTATAGTTTCTTCGATGTGCATAGTATGCAATACTTTGTTTGTTTCACTTACATCATTTGAGGGTTTAAAAACCCACCATACTCGTCCTCGAGAGTTTGAGGATGGTCCCAATGATAAAGAGTCACCGAAGGTTGAATGCCTACATATTTTTGCCCACCATGAGATATTCTATACCTATTTATTAGTTAATTTTGATTAATTGGAGAGGTTTTATCTAATTAATTGATTGACAACTATATACCATTAGCAATAAGTCCGTCGATAAGAGCTTTGTAGAATTTTACACCCTCTTTGTTTACTCCATCCTTTACCTTTCCACCTTTAAATTAAAACATGTTCGTTGTAATTAAGAATATATTCCGAGTAATATTAATCAAGAAAGTCAGAGTTAAAAGAGAAAAATGTAACTACACTTACTGGGTATTAACCTGGCCCACGAAATAGAAAATCTGAAAGCGTCCATATTTAGCTCTTTCAGCAACTTGATGTCATCCTGGTTTAATAAATTTGTCGCCACTTAAATGTTAGGAAAAATACTGAGCTCAGAATAACAACAAATAATAGTTCTTTATGAACCTTTAAAAGTTGAAATAGCATACTTTCACATCCAGCTTATAGTACCTTATAACGATGATAAAAATCGGCCGCTATATCTGCATTCTGCATATTGGTTCTTTCTGGATTTGGAAATTTTACAACCATTATACAGTTATTAGTCATTAATACATACACATATATATATATATACATACAACATACTTATTTCAAGAATTAATGAAGACCTGGAAAAGTGTGGCTGAAGTAATCCCAAATAGTTGGCGATTTCCCACCTTCACTTGTTGCACCTTCTGTCTACATATATATAATACAGATAAAATGATCAGCTTAATTTTAAGACACAATAAGAAAACATTTTAGTGTAAAAGCTAAAATTTATATTTAATTTTATCTTTTTCATTTCACTTTAACAGAAAAAAATATTTATATATTTTCAGGTCTCGACTCAATATTAAAAAAATAACTAAATATTCAGATAATTTATATATATATTTTTAAAAAATATATTATATATGTGATTTACAAAAACTCATCAACCAAAGTTTACAAAACGCCCACAATAGCTAACCTGACTTGAACCAAGATGGGAAATGAAGAAGAATTTATACTTATCTTTTTTTCTAAACCTTGAGCCAAAATTTAGATATTAATTGACCCAAGAAAGGCCCAAGAGAGTTCCTGGAATCGATAGAGGCGGCGGAGTAATCGAAAACGATGACGACCTGAATCACCCAATACTGTATTTGCAGACTTTTTTTTTTCCTTAACTTTTGATTACAGCTTTTTTTTATGTCCATTTGTTAATGGTGAAATAAAGAAAAGGTGGAGACTGGAGAATATGATCATCAACGTCATTGTCAACATAAAAAAAAAGACCATCAAGGTCATATAAGAAAAAAATTGCAATATCTTTATAAGACAGATGACTTATATATCGCGTTTTCTTCATATATGTCAGCAAATACGTTAAATTCTTTGACCAATTGTATATCAATATACGCTGAATAAAACATCAAAACTTTCGAAATGCCCCGACTAGTTATTTCATGTTCTTTTTTTCTTTTCGTTAATGTCCTTTTTGTTAATGCATGTTATAATTACGACCACAAAATACCTGAAACGCCGATATTGCGGCTCCAAAAACGAAATCATCTGGAAAATCACTTCTATCAAATACTCGAGAATCAGGAGAAACAAAAGTAACGTTCTTTGTAAACCATGTGATTGTCAAAAAGAGAATGAGAAAATGCAACTTCATTTTTCTTTCAGTGATAAGAGATGAATTTGTAGACGATACAAACAATGTGCTTCTCTACATATATATAGAGCTTAGTCTCGTGATGTTGATCTACGTGGAACTGTGGAAGTAGTATATATTTTTATAGTCAAAAACTTTTTTTGCATGTAGAACTCTCTAGAACACTTACAAATTTCACGGTAAAAAAGTTGACGAGTGGACTACTCATGGTGCTTTTAACATATTAAAAATTCGATGAGTGGTGTGCTCGACGTCGACATTCGTCTTGTAAAAAAATTAGTCGAGAGCTAAAACTCGAATCACATGATAATAAAAAATGAGTATTTTTTTTACGTACTTTACTGAAATCGTAACGTTTGATGTAACATTCATCACAATCCAAACTCCTTTGGTTGCATATTTATAATACTTTAGGCAAATATAGTGGAATTGGAGGTTTAATTATTATAAATTAAAACATGTCAATTATTTGATTTCCTATGCAAATATTGTGAAGTTAACACCTGTTAATGCATACTATAACACACAAAAAAAACAAATATTGCATTTTTAAATGATGCAAACTTTATATTCTAAGAGTAATTAATAAAGCGATAATTGCTCAACAACATATATGATGAGGATTTAAATTTATGTAGTGCTATAATAATAATATTGATGCGATAGCTATAGTATAAGCCATTAGATTTCATATGATCTAATAATAAAATAAATGTCATATGGTTCAAATAATAATTAGACGGATGAATACGCCCCTAGAACTACAATTTACAAAGGACTTACTTGACTGCTGGAAGGAAATCAGAGTGGTGAAGAAGTAGATTCTTACTTTTTCAAGTGGTACAATTCGCAAACATAGGAAAGGAAAAATTACATTGTTTAGGGTTTGATTTGTAACCCTAATTTGAAAAGAATATAAGGCTACCGTTTCGTACATAAACAATAAAGAAGTTTTTGGCTGGTTTTCATAATCTTAATTATATGAATTATAAGAAAATAAAGATAGGGTAAAACGAAAAAAATGAGCGAGTGATGAAGAACAGAATAAGGAAGATATCGATGCAACATGTATAAATAGAAGTTTACTCGCCATTTAATTTTTGATCATTTTTTCTACAAGTGGCAACTTCCAAAAAAACTGATGTGGCAAACAGGGAAGTGAGCTATTCAATCTTTATATACTTCATCCATATATTTCATTTTAAGTGATGTTTGAATTTTTTATATATAATATTTAATTTTAAATATCCATATGTAACGTGGACGAAATCCCAAAAAAATGTTGACATCCGTACAAAAGATGTAGTCGAATCTTATCTCGCACTAAAAACACTCTTACGTTACCTCCTTCTTCCATAAAGAACTCTTACGTTACCCAAATTTTATATGTCACTATCAAAATTTCTGTTTGTTTTTCAGTACCCCTTATAAGGACAGTACATTGGTCGTCGATAGTGGGAAAAAGGACTTTCAAAGAATATTTGGTTCTTCAAGGCCTCTGTAATTTTATAGTTAGCAAAAAAAAATGTTCTAACTTTCCATAGATGTAGATATGATCTGTACACATCACTGTAACCTACATTATGAACTTATAGTTTTCTTTTGTCCAGTGTACATTATTGGTTTTTATTTTGTGGTTTTGTTCGACGATAATGTTATCAAAAGACTAATCATTGCAATAGCCAATAAGTATAGAAACCCCGCAACTAATGAATTATGGATATCTCATTAGTTGTTGTTCTTTCCAGCCAACAAATTTCCCCCTACATTGGCAATTTTTTTTTAATTTATATAAAAAATCTAGTTTGGAAATCTGAAAAAAAAAAATATCCACAAAACGTATCTCTAGAGTCCAAAAGAAGTATGCGACCCCAACAATAAATTCAACCGATCATAAGGAATCTCGAATGTGCATTGATCCCTTTCTTCTTCTTCTCTTCTCGATGTGTTCGTCATGAGATAGATAATCGAGCCAATGTTTGCTTCGAAACCTTCCGAATCATCCATAGTCTTATTACTCCATCCCTCATGTGATTTGTCACGTGACACATCCCATACTTCTTCCTCTGTATCTTCATTCTTGACGACAAGTCTACGGAGAAACTGCTTGAACCAGTTAACGGAATCTTTGGGATACCGTTCGAGATTGTTGTCGTAGTCAACATAGTACAGACCGAATCTAGTAGAATATCCATGCTCCCACTCGAAATTGTCTAGTAACGACCACGTGTAATATCCTCTGACGTCACATCCATCCTCTCTGTTATAACAATAAAAAAATAATCCAAATCATATTACATATAACATGTTAAATAATTATATTCTCTTAAAAAAATCATAGCATTTTAGTACTCATTTTTTTATCAAGTATCATTTAAGTTATTTAAACGATAAAAAATAGTTTGTAATGTTTGGCCAAAAAAAAATAGCTTGTAATATTTCGAAATGAATTTGAATCAGTTATGAAGGCCCTTCAACAAAAAAAAAATCAGTTAATAGTGTAAACAGTTAAGTATATAAAGGTATTTTAACTAATATATGCAATTTTGTGCGTTTATAACAATGGAATCCGTTTTTGAAAAATTGTAGAGCAGCATTTACATTATAGCTTTGTGGAGTTGTTGGAGGTGGTCCTCATGATACTTTATCCTAAATGTATCCTTGAGAATCTCCTCTCGTGATTTTGTACCGTCGTCGTGGTCATTAATTCCTATAAAAATATTTTTCCACATAAAAATTAAGGACGAGAATTTTTACTGTTGAGTTGATAAAAAATATATAATTATTTTCTTCTCACCATTCTCCTTTATATAGACTGTAGGATTATTGTATTTATCTTTGATGTAGTTAAGAACTTTTCGTAAACCTTCTGGTACTGACTGGAGTATGCCTCGATCTTCCTGTGTGTCAACAAAAAAAAAAACATTAATACTCTAATTTTTTTAGTGACATTCATATTTTTAAAAAAATCAATTCCTTTTATTTGTAGTTAGGAATTTACGTACCCCTGGTCCCATTTGGTGATTACTGTGATTTGTTACTGTGAAAAAACACACATAAAAAAATAAGTTTAGCAGTTTATTGATTTTCATAAAAAAAACTATAGTCATATATATGGGATATATGGATATTAAAATTAGTATTCTTACCTCTCCATTCTAGCTGTTGATCAGTCTTGAATCGAGGTCGTGCAGGGTCAACGTGAGGAAGATGAGCAATGTAGCGAGCAGTATAATAGTTCACTCCAATGAAATCGGATGAATTTTTTAACATTTTGGATTGTTCTGCTGTGAAGGAAGGTAATCTATTTCCAACTTGTTTCTTCATTATTTCTGGATAATCTCCGTGAATAACTGGATCTAAATGCCTAATACACATATTCAAAAAAAAAATGATGAATAAATATCTTAGGATTACAAAAAAAAAACATTAGAAGTGTTTTGATTTTATCTAAATTTATAACAACTTACCAATCTAGTTCAATGGCTAGAGCTCGCTTAACAGCTTCGTTATCGGCAAGAGAAGTAGAGTCATAAGGCTCAAACCACAAAGGCGATAACACTATCCCAATCCGACCATCGTTTGCAGTCTGTCACATGCACATATCATTATTAATTTAAAAATCAAGATTAAAAATAATCAAAATGTACATTATTCAAATTAGAGCTTCTGTATATGCACCTTGTTACATTTTCGGAACTCTTGTACAGCTGCAGCATGAGCAAGAAGAAGATGATGTGATGCAATATAAGGCTCGATAGCGGAATCACCGGCTTGACACTTACTATTAACCCATTTCGAGCAACGTCCAACCGCTTTGTTGCCTGTATCGTAGCCCGCAACACTTATGATGTAAGGCTCGTTTATAGTAGTCCACATCTTAACTTTGTCTCCGAATTCTTCAAAACATACTCTTGAAAAATCTTGAAAATCTTTTCTGGTTTAAGAGAATTACAATAATAATTAAGTATTAATCTATATTGTATTAATCATAAAAGATGGCTATTTGGATACGTCTTGGAGTATTTTGTTAAGTTCACTAACATTATTTGAGGGCTTAAGAAACCACCATATTCGTCCTCGAGAGCTTGAGGATGGTCCCAATGATAGAGGGACACGGAAGGTTGAATGCCTGCACATACATATTTGTTCAACAGACCATATGATATAAGATACTCTAACGTATAATATAGTTAATGTTCATTAGCTGTTTGATTTAATTGAGTATTCCGCTTACCATTAGCAATAAGCTCGTCGATGAGAGCATTGTAGAACCGTACACCTTCTTTGTTTACTCCATCCTTTAACTTCCCACCTTTAAAGTAATATCATAAATTAAGAAAATCCACCAAAATATTGAAATAAATATTAATTATAACTAAACTTGCCCGTAAGAAATAATGAATTTACTTACTGGGGATTAATCTAGACCACGATATCGAAAATCTGAAAGCGTCCATATTAAGCCCTTTCATCAACTTGATGTCATCCTGGTTTTTATAATTTTTTTGTTTATTTAGATAATTAGGAAAATATGATAATGGTTCCAAAATAACAAACTTTTAAAGACCTTAAATAACAACGAAACACCGAAATAAATAATAAATAAATAACAAAGAAACAATATACATATCGTTTGGCATCGAAGATTGTAGTACCTTATAACGATGGTAAAAATCGACCGCTACATCTGCATTCTGCATATTGGTTCTTTCTGTATTTGAAAATTTTATAAATCACATTATACATATAGCATGCTAGTATATATATATATATAATATTAAATTATTGTAAAAAAACATCAATAAATAATAGTATTAGAGACCTGGAAAAGTGTGGCTGAAGTAATCCCATATACTTGGCGATTTTCCACCCTCACTTGTTGCACCTTCGTACTACATAATAGACAATTGGACCAGCTAAGACACAATTGAAGAACAAAAAAATAGAAAAAAAAATTATAGAAAACTCGATAGTTACAAACCATATCATTTGTCTATTTCTTATTCATTTAAATTATGACATACAAAAGGTGAAGAATAAAATCAACGTCGTCATTCTAATTGCAACAAATTTATAAGACAGCTGCCTTATATCTCTTTAAATTTCATTTCTTCTACAGTATTTAATTCCACATCAAAGGGAATAATACTTACAAGTACGTACGGATTTTCGATTTTGCATTATTTGTCAACGTCACACAACTCTAATTAAGTCCATAACCAGTTGCATTATCATAATTCAAAAAACAAAAATTGGAAAAAGTTCATATTACCAACTGAATTATTACCTGAAATGCCGATGCAGCAGTTCCAAAAACAAAATTATCGGGAAAACTACTACGATTGAGGACTCGAGATTCAGGAGGAAGAGAATTAATCTTCTTCGACAACCATGAGATTATCAAAAGGAGGATGAAAAAATGCACCTTCATTTTCTTTTTGTCTTTTGAATTTTCAGAAATTATGTATTTCTTCAAGGTGATCAAAGCTGAAATTTGTAGGTGTTGCAAACTAAGCCGTTTCTCTTCTTATATATAGAGCCAAGTCTCGTGACGTTGGTCTACGTGGAAAGGTATATACTTATAGTCATATTTCATATTATTATGAATTATTAGTATAAAATTAAGTGTCTTAATTACGTTTAATTAATGATTTACCTATAACTTGTCTCAGTAGGAAAATTATGGTAATTAAATAAGGAAGAGAATTCGAGTTCGGTTTCCTTTCTCTTTTACCCCCAAATTCGACCGCATTATTAGCTTCTGTTCAATTTTATCTTTGAACGTGGTCGGGATCACTGCTTAAATTCAAGATATGTGTGTACCCTATGCATGAACGTTTATGTTTGGACAAGTGGAGACTGAATGTAGTCTTAAAATTGACTATGTTCAGTGTTCTGTGAAAACTCTTTTGTATGTAAATTCTTTGGAAAGCTTACAACTTTCACGTTCAAAAAGCTGACGTTTCCTTTTACGGACTTTGATGTAACCCTGACCGTTAATCCAAACCCTTCTCTGTCGATTTTGTTTTTATTTTTGTGGCATTGGAGTTTCTTTTATCCCAAGGGGATTGGAGTTCTAGTGAGTGGAATTTAAAACAACCTTTCAATTCTTTCGATTACTTCTGGAATTCATCTCTGAAATTTTGTGACGCTTATCAAATAAATCCAATTCAACTCTACCAAAAAAAAATTCACAGATTATTCCATGCGAATATGCAAATATAAGAGAATGTGTATTATCTTGCGTTTGGATATCTTTTTTTTTTTTTTTGAAGAAAGCGTTTGGATATCCAGATATCTCTTTTTTCTTCATATTATTAGTGGATGGACATCGATGGTATTTTAGGAAAAAAATATTTTAAAAGTGGTACATATCATATAAACTATGTAAATTTTATTTTATATATTGGAAAACCCTTTAACAAAATTTTTTTTATGTATATTCATGAAAAACAGTAATGTATTTTAATAAAAGCATTCGGTCAAATTCTAAAATGAAATATTAGTTCTTTTATAGTTTATACGCCATGGTATATGGCATAATTTACACCAAAAATGCGATCTAAATCTCCATCTATAACATTGTCAATGCAAACTCAATAGTCTCATCGACGTTTGGTGCTAATTATTATTATAAAATGTCAAATCTATGTTGCAACTAAAAAATATCAATTAATGTAATTTTTAAACAAGAATGTTCCATCTATGGCATGGAAAGTTTTGTACTTCTAACATGGATAGCAATATCTATATTTTTTTCCAAATTGTATATATATATGTATTTATAATATTTGCATTCGGACATGTGAGAAGCTGTATATGGTCGCAATAATGTCTTCATTCATAAGTTTGTAGGAGACCACAGTGAATCTGTACACAGTTAATTTTTAAACATATATTTTCTTATAAAGTTAGGCATTGTCAAAATCGGGAAAGTTTCACCCATTAGGCCTAGCTCTGAACATGAATTTGCTAATGGTTCAAATAATATAAAGATTTTTTTATTTTTTTGGGTAAAAATATAAAGTTAATCTTATGTCATAAGAACTATCAAAGCGATATGCATGCGTTCTCTCGCCCTTCTTTTTTCTAAGTCCAAAACCAGCTTTTAGTAGTAATAGAATATGCCGAAGCGTAAAACCTTCATGGTAACTCGAACTTAAGATTTATTTCCCTTTTACCTAAAACATCAATTAAATTGATCAGTTGAACTACGTACTGGTTTTGGAACACTCATCAAATTGTGGTTGACTAGTATATATCTGGATGAGACCAATGGTGGCATATGGTCGCCATTGCTGACTTCTTGTTATTTGTAAAATCTCCCCTTATTTGCTAAGCAAAGTGGTGGTTGTTTGTTCCCATGCTATGCATAAGACAATAGTTGTGGTTTCAACTCTTATGTTTTCTTCTTCAGTCAAGAGGCGTAATTAAGGAGAATTATATTTCTTACATCAAATACAATTAATTCCTCTCCAATATTAGCATTGAATAGTCCTTTGAAAAGAGTTATTAGCCGCAGAAAATTCTCCTTTCTACATTGTAGTATAGAACAGTCAAAAGCGGATATGTTGCGAATATATGACACTCTTGACTCTTGAGTCTAATGCTTATTTATCTTGGAAATAAATGCTATAACGATATTGCTGTGTTACTCCCTCCGTTTCACAAAGAGTGTCGTTCTGACATTTTTTTTGTTTCAAAAAGAATGTCGTTTTAGAATTCCAATGTAATTTTTAACATAAAATACCATTTTTAACCTCAATAAATTCAGAAAATTAATTAGAAATATAATTCCAAGAGTCATTTTCTGCAAATTAATAAGGGTATAATAAACCTTTTATTTTATTTCTTAATTTGTGTGAAAAATGTCAGAACGACACTCTTTGTGAAACGGAGGGAGTATTATTTTTTTTTAGATGCACGGAATAGCTCATGGGTCAAAATGCGAACTAATTTTTGAACTATGTAAAAAGTCATATATTTTTATTAATATAGGAAAAAAGCTAATTATAGTATAGGGGTCTGTTGATGGTAGGATTCGAACCCTTACCTTGATTCATATATCAATTGGATATTCTATCTGAATGCGTAGAATATAATATTTCCACTTCGAAGCGAATAATCTGTACATAGTATGGCATTGCTAATTCAACTCATAGATTATCAAAGGAGGATGAAAGCATGCACCTTCTTAGCCAATTTTCTTCTTTTTCAAACTTTAAAGTTTTTTTTTAGAAAATATGAGATGTTATAAACTAGAATTTGCATGTCAAAGTCATATAACCTAGAATTTGTAGATGTTATAAACTATGCATCTATCGTTTTTACTTTTGGCATGTTCTGTATCTAATTTATTTTGATAAAGAGTTTTCAATTTTAGATTGCAAGAGAAGAAGAAAAAAAATTATATGTCCAGCACAGCCCAGCCCATGTAATATTTTTATTAAGCCCAAATTACTAAATCAAAACAACTGGAATTTGAGTAAACCATAAACCTACAATCGAACCGGCGTTTTTTGTATATATATATGTCAGTTTCTAACGAACGCTGTTTAGCCTGTTTAAGATTAACTTTTCTTATGGAAAGAAGATATAAGATCAATCGGATTCGTTGTAGATATAACTAACACGATTGGTATAATTATTTCCAAATGAGAAAAAATAAGAATAAAAATCTCTCGGAGTAACGGAGATATTAATAAAACGGAACGATAAAGTTTTCATCAATTGCTTTTCTTTGGATTCAAGAACTTTCTAAACCACTGAGCCGATTTCTTCGGGTATCTTTTACGTCCATCGTTGAAATCTACGTAAACCAGCCCGAATCGGACTGTGTAACCCATTGCCCATTCGAAGTTGTCCAGCAACGACCACGCGAAAAAGCCCTTCACATTGGCTCCAACCCTATATCATTTCACAAAAGCATGCAACACAGTTACATAAATGTATATGTTTATTTATGTCACTTACATATATAATATTAATCATCTTTATTACTTGTAATGTGGGAAGTTGGATTCTTAACCTTTAAGATTAAAAAAAATGCTTACGAGATCGCGTCTTGAACCATCTCGAGATGTCGAGCGTAGTAATCGATTCTATCACCGTCTTTAAGGAAGATTTTACCGGTACTAAACTCATCTCTCCCTACAAAGATTGTTATATATCATTAGGAAACTAGAAGAATCATCGTCGATTATTCAATATATATCAGCAATTAGAGCTGATGGCCTTGTGAATTACCGTTTTCGGTTATGTACATGACAGGGTCTTTGAACTTGTATTTTGCATAAAGGACAAGATCACGAATTCCCTTTGGATATATCAAAAGCCAATCCGACGCAGCCTAAAAGATTAGAAAAAAAAAAACCGAATAAATTCACAACTATTAAAAATCGCTGCAAAGCTTTGTGAAATTAGTCTAGACAAGTACCTTTGGACCGATGGGAACTCCTTCTCTTTCACCTGATACGAATACAACAAACATTGATTTTGGATTTGTAAATTTTCTCTCAATTTTTTTGCGTTTATAATCCTATAAAAAAAAAAACTTGGATGATGCGAAAACGGACCTGTGACGCTTGCACAAGGATCAGAGAACATTGTTACTTTTTCGGTGGAGCAAGGAACATCCTTTGCGTAAGTGGAAGAGTAATAATTGATGCCAATGAAATCATACGAGCCCTTAAGCATCTTAGATTGTTGTGCGGTGAATGTAGGCAATCGACCTCTTACGTTGTTGACCATGTCGATTGGGTATTTACCAGTCACAAGTGGCTCCATGAAGTAGTCAAATGTGAAGGCCATTGCTCGTGCCGCGGCTAACTTATCTTCAGCTGATTCTGTATAAGGCAAGTTCCAACCCGCGTTCAAAGCAATACCAACCTGTCCTTTTTGAGATGCCTGTTGAACGACATTCAAGAGCAGGTTTGTCACAATCCGCACAGGAATAAACATACAAATATTCGATGATTCGTAATGAAGATTATTTCCCGCGAAAGATGGTTATAAACACGGTCCGTTTTTAGTAACTTGACGATCAAGAAACAGAGCGGGATCTTGTTTTTTTTTTTCACTCACCTTGTATTTTTCTCTGTAGACTTTGACAGCAGCTCCGTGAGCAAGGATGAGGTTGTGACCTACTATATAAGGCTCGGTGGCTCCGTCTCCAGCTGTGCAATTAGGGTTAGTGAATTTGGAGCATCTTCCTGGAGCCATTACACCTGCAACATACCCTTGTTGCACCACTGTCAATGGCTCGTTCAGTGTCATCCAGTGCTTCACCCTATCTCCAAAATTCTTAAAGCAAATATCCGCATAATCACGGAAATCATTCCTATTTCATCAGAAAGAAAAAAAAAAATCAGTGAATGTTGTTGTTACTATATATATGTTCTGTAATGTTAATTGTAATGGCCCGTAGAATTTTCTCTTTTATTAGATTACAAATGCTAAAAGACATTATAGATTTGGAAGGACTTACACAATCTCTGCCCCACGGAATCCACCGTAGGCATCTTCAAGGGCTTGTGGTGTGTCCCAATGGAAAATGGTGGCAAAAGGCTTAATTCCTGTAATATAACAATTACATCACTGCTTGCGTTGCGTTTATAACTAAAAAGCATATCCTACTTTGAAAGGTGGAAAAAATATGATCAGTCGCTATCTCTCTAAGATTATTGTCTTAAAGTCAGAATATTCCTTTGAAATTATTATGACTAATTAATTCAGTGACTCACATGTAATGTTTTCCAAATTCGTTCGTGAAATCATGCCAGTCAAATTATTTGGATGGCAGCCAAATTGGTTTTATCGGGGTGGCCCGCACTAAATGATTACGTTTTCGAATTTTGAAGATATAAATTTAAGAAGAAAAAATGCATGAGCATAAAAAGTCATTAGAAGAAAGTATATAAGTTTAGAGAAATAAGTTTTTAATCAATTTTCACACACACACACACAAAAAAAAAGTTTGTAATCAATTATATCATCTTGAGAAAGTGATATTTTGCTATAGTTAAGTACTTAAGTCCGAGTTTGAAAATACTGTGAAAAGATGATTCTCTAAATTACTGAAATCTTACAAATTAAAGTAAATAGGAAACAGAGAGCGTCACTATAGTCTCTCAATCAAATTGGTTTTTGTCTTATACCTTTGGACAGAAGCTCATTGATTAAGTTGTTGTAATAGTCAATACCAGCCTGGTTGATTCCTCCTTTTAGATTCCCACCTAAAGAAGAAACAACTCATTTTTATTATTGGCACTTAAAAAATTAATCAAATCTCATGTGAGCACCCTTCAAAGAGAAGAAGAACTTACGAGGCAAGATTCTTGACCAGGAGATAGAGAATCTGTAAGCATTGAAGCCAATTTGATGCAACAAAGCTACATCTTCCTGTAATGCAATGTTTTAATAAATGATATAATAGAAGATCGTGGCTCATTTTGAGGCCAATGGAAATCAGAACAAACAATTTAAATTTTACATTTATAAATATTTAATCCAAAAAAAAAAAAAAAGACAATTACCTTGTAAAGATGGTACGAGTCATCTGCAACAGACCCATTGCTACCATCCTTTATCTTCTCTAGAAAATCAAAGATAATTAAAAAGCATTAATTGAGTTTATTAACTATACTCCCGTTCAAGAATCAAAAACAGAGTACTTAAGCTTCTTTTTTTTTTCAGTAATCATTCATATTCTGGCCCCTTTTTAAAAAGCTCATGAATGATCAACCAATCTTTAATAAGAACAGATTCACTCATTCACACACACATATATCTATTCTTACTTTACCGATCTCAAATCTAAATTATTCTTTAGATCCAGAATAGGAAAAACTGTAAGATTTAAAACAAAACCTGGGTATTTTTCAGAGAAGGTATCCCAGATACTTGGCCCTCTACCATCTTCATGAGCAGCTCCTTCGACCTGAAAAATGTTAAACAAAAACCCATAAAATCTTTAATCAGTTATCGAATTTATTTTAAGATATGAATAAGAAAAAAAATAGAAGAAACCAAAAAAAAAAACACTTGTTAGAAAAAATAGAAAAAAAAACCTGGTAAGCAGAGGTCGCAGACCCAAAAATGAAATCTTCTGGAAAATCACTTCTTCTTAGTTGAGGTGTTGAAGAGTTGTTCTTGGCAAGAACTTCATTGGAGGCAAAGACAATGAGCACTAGTAAAGAAAGATATTTTCCTCTCATTCTTAATTTTGTTTTTCTTTTTCTTTTGAGAAGATGAATTAAGTGGGGGTTTATATAGGGAACAGAATTGTTTTGCACTGGTTATGTGATTCTATAAATAGAGAAATTTGATAAAGATAATTAAAATGAGAGAGAGAGAGAGAGAGAGAGAGAGAGAGAGAGAGAGAGAGAGAGAGAGAGAGAGAGAGATGACAGATTAGTAAAATTAAAATGCAGCTAACCTGATCTAGAAATCTTTCAATCAGGGAAAAATAGCAAAAGATTAGTTGAAAAAAACTTCTTCATGCATAGATTTTTTATAACCGGCATCCTTATCTTTTTTTTTTTTATCTAAAGCTGAGTCATCATGAAAAAGATTATATAAAGCAATGCATGATCATTGCACGTCTTTCAGATATTGACGGGATGTGCTTAACTTCTGAAGGAAACGTGAAGACGTGTAAGAATTGAGAGTTATTTTTTCGTCATTTTGCGCTAAAACGTCTTTTGAATCTAAAAAAAAATACTAACAAGCTTCTTGTAACGGCTATTTATTTCAAATTTTGTTGAGGTACTTTTGGATTTCTCCTTTTAAACGTTGTTACGAAATTTCATTAAGTAGGATATTATATACTTTTTATTAAGTAAAGGATATTTTTCACAGGTTGGTGTAGTCTGGAACGCGTTGGGAATAGACCTGTCGGTCAAAATATTACTATCAAACCTAACACGATATATTTAATTTATTTTAGACTATCTCTGATTTCCCATGTGACGAAACAAGTCAATATTTTGGTTTTAGGTGATCTTTTTCATTGTGAATTTATAAATTTCTTGTGACTTGTTAAGGAAGTTATTTTCATTAATAATATGAAAAGAAATGTAAAAACTTGATTATCTTTGTTATCTTTAAAAACGTTAATTATCTCAGAAAAATACAAAAAATGAAACTCTTAGACAGTTATTTACAAATTAATTTATCTGTACGGAAACAAATATAGTAATGAGAATGTACATGTAAGAAAATCAAAATTATGGGTCGTTTTAAGGAAAAAAAAATTCTCGCAAATAGGCTTTACTAGTTCTATACTTCTATCTGCAGCACACATTATAACAAACGCCCACAGTCCATTACGTATCGAAAGAGCTGCTAGATGTCGGTTCCGTTCGAATCCGATTGTGACTGAAAAGAGCCTAGTGTTCTAGAATCTAGAATACGGAGAAAACCAAAACCCACGTATACGGCATTTAGATTTGCCCACAAAAAAAGCTACAAAACTGTGTATATATTATACGGTTGTCTTTTTTAGTGTCTAAATACATTCAATGATGTACAATTTTTTTTGAATTAAACCAAAAATATAAAAATAAAATAAACAAATGATCTTAGAAAAAGAGTTCAAGTGCTTTCGAAGATTCGGACATCTTGGGTATATAACAGGAAGGCGAACCAGAAGACGTTAAGAATCTCTTCCTCTTCTTGTGATCAACAGAATTCAACAATCCTTCTTTCTCTGAGTCTTCAATATCTTCTTTCTTCAAAAACTCTTTAAACCACATTGCCGACATTTTTGGATAACGTTTTAGACCGTTGTTGTAGTCTACGTAGAATAGTCCGTAACGAACTCCATAACCAGCGTTCCATTCGCAATTGTCCAGCAATGACCATGCATAGTATCCTTCTACTAGAACACCATCCTCCCTAAAAAAGCGTATTCATAATTGATAATAAGAAATTTGAAAGAAAAAAAACCTCGATTTTGATTTCTCTGCACACGTTTCTTGCTTTTCAATCTGCACACGTTTCTTGCTTGTAATGTAACTTAATGATAATAGGGACTTACTTGATGGCTTGGTGGATGCTTTGGAGATGTTTTTCGTGGTACTCCGTCCTCTGAAGATCCATCAGATTCGAGAGTTTCGCCTTTTTTTCATAATCTATATCGCAGTGACCTAAATATTTTTGATAGGATATAAAAGTTAAGAATTTCTCCAACTTTACATTTCAAGAGGTGAAAGGAAAAAGCTTAAAAGAGATACACCTGCTATGATAAAAAAAAAAATAATTACCGTTTTCAGTTATCAGAAATTTAGGACTTCCATATTTGTTTTTGGCGTGATTTAGAAACTTTCTTAGACCTTGTGGGTATAAAAAGTCCCACTCTGAACCACCTCTAGGACCCAAAGTTTGTCCTGCTTTGTTTTGTTCTGTTTTGTATATACGATAATAGTAAACTTGTGAGCCAAGAAACCAAAAGTAAAAACCTTAGAAAGTATGAAATAATACTTACTTTTCCATTCGATGCGTGCGTCGGATCTCCAGTTGGGAATAGCAGGATCCACGTCAACAACATTTTTAACGTAGAAGGCACTGTAATAATTTACTCCAACGAAGTCAAAAGATCCTTTTAACTTCTTAGATTGAGCTGCAGTAAACGACGGTAATCTTTTTCCAATCAATTTTTTCATGACTTCTGGATAATCTCCATAGACCGTTGGATCCATATGCCTGTTTTAAAAAATAACCCCCGAAATATTATTAGTCAACATGCACAATGATAAAAATAATTGTATATCCAAGTAATTAAATAGAAGATCGATCACTCACCATCCAAACATAAATTCCATGGCACGCTCAACCGCTTCTTGATCATCAGGACAGTTCGAGTCGTAAGGTTCGAACCAGACCGGACAATGTGCAATACCGATTTTACCATCTTTACTCTGCAACACGTAATATCATTGTATATGTCAGTAAATTTATAAGAGTATTGAAAACAAAATACTTAATAAGAGATCAATTCTTGCTCGTACCTTTGGGTTTTTCCTGAACACTTCAACAGCTTCTGCGTGAGCTAAAAGTAGATTATGACTAACTGTGTAAACCTCGAGACCAGATTCACCTGCCAAAGCTGCTTCGTTCATGTATTTAGAGGCACGACCCGGAGCTTTTCTTCCGGTATCATAACCGCCAATACTATAAACCCACGGCTCATTTAGCGTCACCCAATACTTCACACGGTCGCCAAATTCTTCAAAACATATGGTAGCGAATTCACGGAAATCATCACTGTATCAATAATATGATTATTGGTATATGCATAAAGTTAGATGTATACCGAAGAAAATTTAACGTTTAAGAATTGGTATAAATACTGTCTAATATTTTCTTACACAGCTTTTTCGCTAAGAAAACCTTTGTATTCGTCTTCTAAGGCTTGTGGAGTATCCCAATGGAACAATGTCGCCAGAGGTGTGATTCCTATTACGTTTTATATAATGTTAACTACATATACGAAATAACAATTATATAAAACGATTCATATGTTTTGATGTACACACGAGAGGGATTAATTAGGTTTAAATACCGTTCGCTAGGAGTTCGTCGATGAGGTCGTTATAAAATTTGATTCCTTCCTTGTTAACTCCTTTGTTTTTCTTTCCATCTATTTTGAGTTTACAAAAAACGTTAAAATATAATTCGACATATTGAGTTTGATTAATAATTTATTACCTCATTAAAGAAAAAGAGTTTTATAGGTTTATGACTTACGAGGAAGAATCCGAGGCCATGAGATTGAGAATCTGAATGAATCCATATTGATATCTTTCATTCTTTGAATATCTTCCTTGTAATGGTGATAAAAATCCACAGCTTGGTCCGCATCAGAGTAACAATTCCGTTCTGCACATATAAATTAAAGTTTTAATTCATTAGTTTAATACATAAGATATATAAACAAAAAAATAGATCGATTACTAGATATAAACCTGGATGCTTGCGGACAAAAGTATCCCAAACACTTAGCCCTCGAGTGGCATCATTCACGGTTCCTTCGTATTGGTAAGCTGATGATGCAGTTCCGAACAAAAACCCTTCGGGAAAATCGGATCGGCGAAACGAAGTCTTAACTGCATAAATCTTCTTTCCTCTGAAATAAAATGAAAACCAAAAAAAATATATTTAATAATGTTCATAAAAAAGAGAAGAAAAAAAATTAACGTTTTCTTTGCGGGTATATATTAGAATTGAAGTGATTATTACTTACTGCATCATTTTGTTTTTGAAATTTACAATCTTGTAAGGAATGAAGCTAGCTAGAAATCTTTTATTAAATTAATTTGCCTCTAAAAAGTAAATAAATGAATTAAATTGAATGTAATGGGGATTGGGTTTGTGATTGAAACGATGGGATATGGTAAGTTTTATATAGGCAGATGAAATCGTATAAGGAACCAAGAAAATTCAAACTTTAATTTAATTAGTCAAACTAGTTACCTACGTGACTATACGTCTGTTGACTCAGCTTGTTTTTAATTGATTTTTTTTTTTAAAAAGAGTATGGTTATTTTGGCCTTCATGAGCCAATTAGATTCTCCTATGTTGACCTCATAACTCATAAGTATAGTTAATATTTAATAAATGAAACAGTGTCGGGGAAATTACGCTGCGACTAGGGTGGATCCTATAATTTTGGAATTTTTTTTTGGGGGGATTTAAACTAGAAAGATTCAAACTTTTGGTTTCTTAAGTTACATATATATAACTTGACAAAAAAGGTTACATACATATCAATCTATGGTAATGCTTGCAATTTTAATAACAAATGTAAATAATTGTTTCCGAGTTAAGCATCACTCCGTAGTCCTTACCAGCATTTGAGCTATACAAAAAAATGTTGATATTCATTTATCATGGTATATCGACTAGAATTATAAACAATATATAGATGTGAGATTGAAATTACTCAAAATAATGAAAAGGTTCAAAAACAATAAAAAAAATTACTCAAAATATATAATCAGAATATTGAATCTGAAACCAATGAGAAATGGAGCAAATCAACATATCGTGGGACACGATCCATTATAAATAAAAATGATTCTTTATATTTAAATATTAGAAAACAGCCAGAAATTTATTGTAGATAACAAAAAACAAGTTATAAATACAGTCTACATCTCCTGATAAAAATATGATATCAATATGTTTTATCAACATTAGCAATTCTATTTAAGAAAAAATGTTATTATGTTAAGGTACTTTAATATTTGAAACCTTTTAACGTAAAGACATCACATCATCATACATTATTTCTTATTTATTTGAGTTAAAAAAAAAAGGAATCCAAAAGGAAAATGAGACTGCTACAAAGGAGTATGGGTATTCAACGAACCGAGTTATGATGATTCGGTTTGTACTTTCGTCTACAGAGCATATATTTCAGATAATCAGATGCATGTATCTATTATGGGCGTCATGATGATTCGATTGTCCGAATTATTATATAGGGTTTATTTTTGTTAACGTCTATTTTCTTAGGTAGCAAGAAATATCATATAAATAGAGTTTTAAGTTTTAACCATCCGCGATAGCTTCAGTTTTATTGGTGTAAATAGCTTATCTAATACAAACACTAATCAAACTTATCTAATTACATTAAATAAGCTATTTACACCAATAAGTTTTCTAATCATATGATAAAATTTTGGAGTATATACTTACAAAAAATGACAACAGTTTGTACTTATAACTTATGTACTTTAATCTGCATAATCTTGACGATATCTTCTTTTTCTAAAGGATATGCTATTGAAATGCTAAAAGTCGGCGATATATATCTTCCTTTTTATCTAAAAATAAAGTCGGGCGTGGACCTTGTTTTCATCAATTCTGTTGACTTCTTGAATAAGCATTTTCGTCTTATGGCTCAGCCGCTCAGTCCCCAATCTGTATTTATCCATGTACTGTAGCAAAAATTGGAAATATTACCTTTGTTTACAAAGGAAAGATCCTCTACAAAGAGAGTGGCTGAAGAAGGATCTCCCTCAAGTTATTTGCTAGCTGTATTCCTATGAAGGAGTTGTCAGTTTGTTAGCGGAAACTAATGTTATTTCTGACGACCAAAAAAATAATGTAAACCATAAAAAAAAATTCTTAAGTACAAGTTTTTTCAGTTTTCTAATCCTTTCTTCAAAAAATAAAAAGAATAAAGTTTTCCAGTTTCCACTAACCGCGATGAAAAGGCGACTCGACTATTAATTAACTCTAATCAATTCCGACAATAGCTTTAATTAAAAACAAAACTAAAGAAGACTGGAGAATCACAGCAGTTGACAAAAACACCATTTTTTAAAACATGAACAGGTTTAAGTCTTTCCGATTTTCTTCCGTTTAGCCTTGAAGATTTCAGAGCTCGGTCTAATAAAAAGTTATAAATATAGAAAAATATAATATAATAACGTGCAAAATATTTATTGGCGTAAATGAGAAAAAAGTTTATTTTCAGGTCAGTATTAATTGAATGAATCCCAAATATGTCGTTTAAAAGATGTTCTATACGTAACAAACTCTCACAATACCGGCTTAATTGATTAAATAGATCATTTTTTCTGTCCCTGGTATGTGTATCAATTTTATCACGAAATTTTAATAACTGAATACGTTCAAAAAATAAAATTGCATTGCTGTTCTTAGTTGGTGGAGCGATTTGTCTGATTGATTTCGTTTTGAACAAATGGTTTTCGATACGAAGCTAAACAAAAAAAAAGTGGCGAAGTTTTATCAAAATTTTCAGTAAAGCTATTTCCAAGTTGACTTTAAACAACTCCTACATTTGCATTCGTACTTCATAGCTATTTTCATATGACATTTTGAAGTTGTATTCTCCATAGTTTAAAATTAAATTGTCTTCGCAGACACCGCGTTTTTAGAGTATGAGTGAGATTTTGCTAGTTTTTAAAACATATTTTCCTCGTCATTGCCTAAGCATGCAGGGTAGGTAGATTTAGAAAGTGACAACGAAACATTGGAAGAGTATATATAATAATACAACGGAGTTAGAGGATCTATCAAAATTGATTTCATTTTTTATTGTAGTTTTCTACTTTGGTCAGCATTTCACTCTTTTTAAGGTTGAATAAGTATTTTCCCATACGTCCGATTTTACTTGAACGTATAGAAGCAACATACATTTATTTCTCATTATTTTATAAAGACATTTTAATTGATGCTATGTTTTTACCATGCGGACTACTATTTATTTTGGAATTGGACCCCTAAGCAAAGGAAGCAACTTGGGAACGTGTGAACATGCAACAATGTACGTGCGAGTGATGAAATGTGAAGACAGTTTTGACACGTGGGTATCAAGACTCAGCATCAAATTTTGGATGACCCTTTGGTTCACTTCAAACTTATACTCCTAGTAATAATAGAGTATTATTCATCCTTGAAACTCACGGATTTATGTCGCTATTGTTGACAAAATGAGGGATATTTGGTAACTTATTCAGTAACCTTTTTGATGTGTAATCTGTTTAAGTTTTTGTTTGCGTGTTTTATTTTTAATTAAAAAGATGACTCTTGATTTTTTTTCCTTATTATAATAATATCGGATTTGAATTTTGAAATCGGATAATAGATAATTTTTTTATAAATGTTGACAAATAATTTAGGACGGTAAAAAGAGTTGATAATTCAAACTTAAACATATGTATTGAGATATTGTGATCCGGTTATATGGTTAAGCCTTGGTTTAATATTTCCTAACTGACCGGTTAAGTTTATTGTACAATATATAAACAACTTGTACAGATACTTTTGATAATACGAAGAATATACATTTCATTCTCAACAAACTTTTCTCTTCTTCTTCAAGCTCTGAATCTCTCTCTCGATCTTAGTTTGTAATATGGTATCAGAGCCTAACAGCTCAAAGTTCCATTGATCTCTGCACTTCTAAGCTAGATTGAGGTTATTCATCGGTGAATTCTCTGATCCGATGGTTACTGTGAAGAAAATTTCTCGTAGATCTACTCGAGCCACCGCCACAACGAGTTCTGCTCCAGATGCTTCGCCTCTCAGATCTAATCTGGTTTCTCAAGCTCGGCGAGCTCCTCGAACCGTTACGACGACGGAATCGCTCGATTCGATCCACTCTCCGTTTCATATGCACAGCTCCGATCATCCAGGTTTGCAATTGATCTCTCTTCGTCTCGATGGAACAAACTACGATGATTGGGATGCTGCTATGAGAATCGCACTTGATGCTAAGAATAAAATTGGATTCATAGATGGTTCTTTACCTCGTCCTCTGGAATCGGAATCTAGTTTTAGGATATGGTCTCGTTGCAATTCTATGGTGAAATCTTGGTTATTGAATTCTGTCTCTCCACAAATATATCGGAGTATTCTTCGTTTGAACGATGCTACCGATATATGGAAGGATCTTTATGGTCGTTTCCATATGACGAATTTACCTCGGACTTTCAACTTGACTCAAGAGATACAAGATCTCAGGTAAGGAACGATGACATTATCTGAATACTTTACAACACTGAAGACTTTGTGGAGTAATTTGGATAGTTCTGAAGAGCCTGATGATCCATGTACCTGCGGTAAAGCTGCTCGTCTGCAAATGAAGGCAGAGAGGGCTCGCATTGTCAAGTTCTTAGCCGGATTGAATGAGTCTTATGCCATTATCAGGAGGCAGATCATTATGAAGAAAGTATTACCTACACTTGCTGAGGTCTATAACATTCTCGATCAAGATGAAAACCAGAAGGGATTTTCTAATGTTGTAGCTCCTCCAGCAGCATTCAATGTGTCTGAGAATACTGATTCATCTGAAGTTATCTGCTATGTCCAGAATGGTCCTAACAAAGGTAGACCGATTTGCTCATTCTGCAACAAAGTTGGCCACATTGCAGACAGGTGCTATAAGAAGCATGGATTTCCTCCGGGATATACACCAAAAGGGAAGAATCCAGACAAGTCTTCTAAGCCGAAAGTTGCTGCTCAGGTCTCTTTATCTGATACTACTCCAAACAGCTTTGAAGGACTGATTGGAAATATGACTAAGGATCAGATTCAAAGTTTCATAGCTTTGTTTAGTTCTAAGCTCCAGACTCAGCCAGTTGCTATGAACAGTGAAGCTAGCACCTCTCAATCTACTAACATATCCGGTATTTCGTTCTCCTCTTCCACTTATTGTTTTGTTGGTATCCTCACCGTATCTCAACAACACCTATGCACACAGACCTGGGTAATTGATTCTGGTGCAACGCACCACGTCTCTTATGACAAGAATCTTTTCAGCTCCTTGGATTCTTCCATTGTGAGTTCAGTGAATCTACCCACAGGGTCTGTTGTCAAAATCAGTGGAGTTGGAACAATTCAGATAAACAAAGACATATACCTCAGAAATGTCTTGTTTATTCCAGAGTTTAGATTGAATCTTCTGAGTATAAGCTCTTTGACTACTGACCTGCGATCCAGAGTAATCTTTGATCCATCTTCTTGTGAAATACAGGATCTTTCCAAGGGATCAACGATTGGACAGGGTAGAAGGCTGGGGAACTTATATGTGCTGGAGACAACGAGTTCATCTGTTTCAGTCAATGCAGTAGCTGATCTCAGTTTATGGCACAAACGTCTGGGTCATCCTTCGTTTTCAAGGCTTGATATCATCTCAGAGGCTTTGGGAACATCTATTTTCAAGAATAAAGGAACAACACATTGTCATGTTTGTCATCTGGCAAAACAGAAGAAGTTGTCCTACACTTCCTCAAACAACATTTGTAATTCAAACTTCGAACTATTACATATTGATGTTTGGGGACCATTTTCAGTGGAGACTGTTGATGGATACAAGTATTTTTTGACTATTGTTGATGACCATTCTAGAGCTACATGGGTTTACTTATTAAAGACAAAATCTGAAGTTCTACAAGTGTTCCCATCCTTCATTCAACAAGTTGAAACGCAATACAACACCAAAGTCAAGTCAGTTAGATCGGACAATGCACCAGAGCTGAATTTCACGAAATATTACAAAGAGAAAGGAATTGTTACATTTCACTCTTGCCCAGAAACACCTGAACAAAATTCAGTAGTGGAGAGAAAACACCAACACATACTGAATGTTGCTCGGGCCTTAATGTTCCAATCCAAGGTTCCTCTTGTTTTCTGGGGAGATTGTGTGCTCACTGCGGTTTTTCTGATCAACCGAATCCCATCTCCTTTGCTCTCCAACAAGACACCATATGAAATTCTAACTGGCAAACCTCCGATCTACACTCAGCTTAAAACTTTTGGTTGTCTATGCTATGGAACTACTTCTCCAAAACAACGTCACAAGTTTGAACCACGTTCTCGGGCTTACTTATTTCTGGGTTACCCTCCTGGATATAAGGGATACAAAATCATGGGTTTGGAGAGTAATGTGGTATATATATCAAGGAATGTCACATTTCATGAAGATATTTTTCCGATGGCAAAAGAAACAAAGTCAGAAGATACTTTGGACTTAGATAAGCCGATGGATTCTTTGTCTTCAGGTATGAATCCCATTCCTTCTATTCCCATTACTCCTACACCAAAATCTCCATCACCACATATATCCACCACTCGACAAAAGAAAGTCCCTGCACATCTGCAGGACTATCATGTTTACTCTGTAAATTCCACCATTGTCCATCCCATTTCCCAATCCATATCATATTCCAAATTATCCACACCATACCTTTCCTATATAAATAACATTACCAAAATCCCTATTCCTCAATCATACTCTGAGGCAAAGAATTCTAAAGATTGGGATGGTGCTGTTGATAAGGAGCTTGGTGCTATGGAATCAACAAACACATGGGAAGTGACTTCATTACCTCCAGGGAAGAAACCGGTTGGTTGTAAGTGGGTTTTTACCTTAAAGTTTCATGCAGATGGGTCACTTGAAAGGTATAAAGCCCGGCTAGTGGCAAAAGGATACACACAAAAGGAGGGGCTGGATTATAAAGAAACTTTCTCACCTGTTGCCAAACTAGCCACAGTCAAGTTTTTGCTAAAGGTTTCTGCTTCTAAGAACTGGTCTCTCACTCAGCTAGATATATCAAACGCTTTTCTGAATGGGGACTTAGAGGAAGAAATATATATGCGATTACCTGATGGATATGCTGAAAGACAGGGGGACTCTCTGCCTCCTCGTGCTGTACTTCGTTTAAAGAAATCGATATATGGACTTAAGCAGGCTTCTAGACAATGGTTTTTGAAGTTTTCTGCAGCCTTAATGACATTGGGTTTTCAGAAAGGTCATGGAGATCACACTCTGTTTGTCCGTAGCAGTGATGATTCTCATATTGTGGTACTTGTTTATGTCGATGACATAATAATTGCCAGTACAAGTGATTCTGCAACATCTCAACTCGTTGATGATCTCAAAGGAAACTTCAAATTGCGAGAATTGGGTCCTCTGAAATATTTTCTTGGTCTCGAAGTAGCTCGAAGTACTGATGGTATCTCCTTGTGCCAAAGGAAATATGCTTTAGAACTTTTGGAATCTACAGGAATGCTTGGTTGTAAACCATCATCCATACCTATGACTCCAAACTTGAAGTTGTCCAAATCTGAAGGGAAATTACTTGATGATCGTGAAAGATATCGAAGCTTGGTTGGTCGACTGATGTATTTGACCATCACAAGACCTGATATAACATTCGCTGTCAACAAGTTGTGCCAGTTTTCTTCTGCACCTCGCACATCTCATTTACAAGCAGCTTACAAGGTTCTTCAATACATTAAGGAAACAGTAGGTCAAGGCTTATTTTACTCAGCAAATGATGATTTGAGTCTGAAGGGGTTTGCGGATGCAGATTGGGCTTCATGTCCTGATAGTAGACGATCAACTACTGGATTTACCATGTTCTTAGGAGACTCTCTTATCTCATGGCGTTCCAAGAAACAAGTCACTGTTTCAAGATCATCTGCGGAAGCCGAGTATAGAGCTTTGGCTCTAGCTTGTTGTGAAATGATGTGGTTCAGAACATTACTCAATGATGTGCATGTTCCTCTTTCTTCTGTGCCTGTTTTATACTCAGACAGCACAGCTGCGATGCATATCGCCACCAACCCAGTTTTTCATGAGAGAACAAAACATATAGAGGTTGATTGCCATACTGTGCGTGAAAAACTGGATCAAGGATTGCTCAAGACTCTTCATGTTAGAACAGAGGATCAAGTGGCAGACATTCTTACGAAGTCTTTGTTCCCGAACCAGTTTGAGCATCTAAAATCCAAGATGAGTCTCATCAACATCTTCGTCTCATCTTGAGGGGGACTATTGAGATATTGTGATCCGGTTATATGGTTAAGCCTTGGTTTAATATTTCCTAACTGACCGGTTAAGTTTATTGTATAATATATAAACAACTTGTACAAATACTTTTGATAATACGAAGAATATACATTTCATTCTCAACAAACTTTTCTCTTCTTCTTCAAGCTCTGAATCTCTCTCTCGATCTTAGTTTGTAATAATATGGTTCATGTCACCTTTGCAAAGAGTCGACTCCTTGTGCAAAGTAAGTCTTTGGTGGAATTCATGTATTTTTTTTCTTCTTCTTCCGTTTTGGTACCATAAAAATCTTTTTGTTAACAATAATCAAACATAAACATTACTTCACACAAGAATTTCCGTTTTTTCTTACTAAATACCAATTTGCGATAAATAGTTCCGAGTGCCAATGGGAAACAACCTTACATACTTTATTTTTAATAACGTCGATCTATGAATTAGAGTCTATATATATCGAATGGGGATCAATTTCATTAATCGAGCAAAAACACACCTTTTTGATGATAAAATAATTTAGTTTGTGTGGTGAAAAACAAGAAAAACAAACGTTTGGATGAAACGAATATTTGCTGGATTACTTGTTAGAAACTGCTTTGTAAAACTTATAAGTCTTATATGGGCCTCACATATAATCTGGATTTGGTATTTTTCTTTAATTTCAGTATTTTCTACGAAAACCCGTCGCGGGGAGGATCGAAACGACTGTGTTTGATAATTTAATGAGAACGAATCCAACAATTTGATTTCTCAACAATTAATTTATTTATAATTATTTTTCCATCTCACACTCCGTTTCTGTTCTTATTCCGGAAATAATAAGCTTCACGCAAATCTGGAATCTTTAGCTGAATCACTCTTAAGTGGAGCTCGGATTTGTTGCTGGAAGAAGGTTTCGGAGGAAGAAATTGATCAGTCTTTCTACAATTCTAAAGAGAAAAGAGCTCAATCAAAATCGAGTCTTCTTCTAGTCAAATTGAAATCAACCTCGAATTGTGCTTCGTTTGTTTTCTCTTGATTCTTCGCCGATCTTTGCTTCCCGAATCTCATATCCGAAATCAGTCTTTGAAGAATAGGGATTAAAGCATCGTGATGGACTACGAATCTTTTGATAGCAGCGGTTAGTTCCGTAACATTGTATAGATAGCTCCTTGTTCTCTCGCCTTCCTCTCTATCAGTCGCCGAAATTAGGGTTTACGAAAATTTGGGGATTTTTCCGTCCAAGTAGTGTTACACATTGTGGTTTTTGATGGATTGGTGTTAACTCTAGTTTTTGTATTCAGATTTTGGGTGTTTTTAAGAAGAAATTTAGGTGCTAAGCTATGTAGAAATCGCAGGTTACTACTAACTAGCGTTGCATATAACTGAAACTGAGTTGGAACTTGACCTAAGCATATCTCTTTTGATCTTTAGCTGGATATACTCTGATTGAACCAAAGTTTGATTTGTATAATACAGTACTGATTTTCTTGGTGCGCTGTCTGCAGGAACAGATGATGATCTGCCTCCATCGCATACTGTTCCCCGGGGAGGACGTGTGTCTGGTAATGGAAGACCTTCGAATCTCCCTCCATCTTACCCGAAGATGTATGATGAAGTTGCTGCTGATATGGAAGCTCAAATCCACCAGTTTGAGAAGGAAGGATACATCTCCGTTCTAAGAGCCTTTAAAGCCCAGGCAGATGCAATTACTTGGGTATTGGATGAATCTCGTTCTACTTATGTTTCTCTTCTTATGTTAGTTTCTGGTTAGGTGAAATGACATCTCTTTTATGTATGTATCCTGTTCAGGAAAAAGAAAGTCTAATAACTGAACTCCGTAAAGAGTTGAGATTATCGAATGAGGAGCATAGAGAGCTTCTAGGTCGTGTAAATGCAGATGATACAATACGAAGGATAAGGTGAGAGCTAAAATCCTGAGGCATTTATTTGATTGAGGAGTAAAATGTTTCTTTCTTTTTCTATCAGTGACAAAAAATTTCCCTTTATCAGGGAATGGAGACAATCTGGAGGAATGCAACCAAGTATGCGCAATGCTGCTCAAGTGGTTCATGATACATTGCCAAGCCCTTCAGTTTCAGCTTCTATCAAGAAGCACAAACCAAACCAGCCGATTCCTTCTCAACCATTCGTCAGTCCTTCACCTTCTTTTCACCCTCAAGCTGATCCCACTCATCCGTTTGCTTCATCGACAGCTAAACGAGGATCTGTTCCGAATGTCAAGGGCAAAAAGCATAAGCCAGTGAGTAACAAAATCATAAAGTTGGTATCTTTTGTTGTTTCTTTATCAGTAGCGATTCTTTGATTAGTTTTTCCCTTTTTCTAGATTTTCCCTGGTTCGTCTTCCGCGAAACCCATCTCATACCATCCTTCAGATCAGCCTCCACGAGGACTTGTCATGAACAGATTACCATCTGGTCCTACCAGTTCAATTGAACCTACAAACGGAACCGAACCTGAGTCTTTTGTAGGAAGAAGAGTTAGAACAAAGTGGCCTGAAGACAATACATTTTACGAGGCTGTCATCACCAAGTATAATCCAGTTGAGGTGTGTGGCTTCTTAAACTGGCATAAAGTTTCTTTACATTATTTTAAAAATACTTAAAGATGTTTAAGTATATTTCTAATCTTTAATTTTAGGGTCGTCATGCTTTAGTTTATGATATTGGAACACCTAACGAGACATGGGAGTGGGTTAATCTGTCAGAGGTAATTACTTTTTGATCATTAGTCTTAATTAAATTTTTGAGGAAAAAACTTTGGTCTACAGTACTTTGGTGTTATTTTGTAACCAAGATCTTTAATTCTTCTACAGATCTCTCCTGGTGATATTGAATGGATAGGAGAGGATCCTGGGGTTGGTAATCGATATGGTTATAATGGACAAGGCCATGGTCTGAATAGAACTACAGGACCCAACAGTGTTCAACAACGGGGAGGCAGTTTGGGGAAGACCACTATCAGAAAAGATTTCAGAACATCACAGAATGGAACTGGGAAGAAGAAACATCTCGATATACGAATCCGTCAAACTAATGTCCTAATCAGAGAGGTTGGTATTAATTGATTTCAAGGCGAGTTTTACAGTGCTTTATGGTTATTCCTCAAATGATGATGCTTTCTGATAGGTGGAGAGAGTTCTTGGTTCACACAATCCAGATCCTCAAGAAGTTGTAAGGGCTAAGAGAGTTTTGGAGGTTTGTTTGCTACAACAACAAAGATCTTTCTTATTTTTTTGTTTGTACACATACAAAGGACTCAAATAATCGGTTATTACCTTCGATTCAGGAGCAAGAACATGCACTTGTGGGTGCAATCGCAAAGCTTGAAGATATGTCCGATGGAGAAAACGGTAAGTGTTTAGTTGATATATCAAGCATTTAGCATCTTCAAGCCCTCTATCCTCAGTGATGTTCCTCCATTTGAGCAAATGAAGACGAAATGCTTGTAATCTCAAATCAAGATTCCTTCACTGAAACTCTCGTTCTCTGGTCGTTTGTACAGAAAGTGGCTTTCGTCGTTAACTTGTGTTTGAATCAAGCAATTTTGCCAAGGCACAGTGCAATGCTGTCCATAAAGAGCAGATGAAGAAGATAGCATTTGTTGAGATTGAAGGTCAGAGTCTCAACTTCATTGATGTTGCCCTTATTTTGGGTTTCTGACTGTAATTTTTGCTGAAATTAGAGATTAGCTTTACCCGAATGTTGGTTTTGTTGGATATACATATGTTCAATGGAACGGTTTCAGTATCCTGTTGCTGTAGCCCTAGCTTTTGTAAAGACTCAAATGGTGAAAATGAGCAAAAATATAACCAAAAACGAAGGGATGAAATGAATCTTCCTGATGCCAACAAGCGAAAATACACTTTCCCTAATGCATAACTATGAGAATGTCTTCTAATGCTAGAACTAAGATAAAATACCCCAAAGCATATTCTATGGATTTACAAGCTCCTGTCAAAAGCCAGCAAAGGAGAAAAATAAGTTCTTAATTCTCACCGTCGGCTTCTTTTCTTTGGCTGTTTATTGTCCTTACCTGTACTTCCGCTTTCCCTTCCTCGTTTTCCCGAGGCAGATGCAGTTGCTGTCGCTGCAGCCTCTACTGCTTTCTTCTGCGGTCTCCCGGGCGCTCTTTTCACCGGAGTATTCTCCACCTCGGCCCTTTTTCTTTTACCCACACTGTTGCTTCTAAGCTCTCTGGTTTCGAATTAACTCCCTTTCCTTACTGGTTTCCACCGCTCCTACCTCTAACCTTTTACCTTCTTTTTTGCGAAAAG